TGGGCGATCAGTCGCTGTCTTGTGAGTGTGTGTGTGTGTGTGCATACACAAGTCAACAATTGTTTGTGGAAGTAAAGGAGTGATCAGATTTTGATGGGTCACGGATATATAATCCAGACTGTCAGGTTTCACCTTTTGCGACCCCATGGATTGTAGCACACCAGATTTCTCTGTCCGGAGGGTTCTCCAGGCGAGTATACTGGAGTGGGTTGCCATTTCTTTCTGTAGGGGCTCTTCCCAACCCAGGGATCGAACCCTGGTCTCTGTAAGTCTCCTGCATTGGCGGGCACGTTGTTAGCACTGGTACCACCTGGGGGCACCCAGTGTTAGAAGACAGCTGAAAAAGCCTTCACGCAGGGAAGGCACATAGAGAGCACAGTCCAGCAGAGAGTGAGACAGAGACATAAATTGTTGGAATGGAGAGATTACTGGTGCTCATACATGAATCGGACCTTAACTGCACACTGTTGGCAAGAAGAGTGAAAGTCACTCAGGTGCGTTGACTCTTTGTGACCCCATGGGCTGTACAGTCCATGGGATTCTCCCGGCCAGAGCACTGGGGTGAGTGGCCTTTCCCTTCTCCAGGGAATCTTCCCAGCTCAGGGATCTTCCACGTTGCAGGCCAAGCCACAGGGAAGCCTGTTGACAGGAGACATGCCTAAAATGTAAGGAGATGGGTTGAACGTAAAAAGATGGACAAAAGACAGCGCGCACAGATGAAGAGAAGGCTGGTTGTGTCATACTATTGTCATATCAGACCAGGTGGAAAGCATTGCTGGAAGCAGAGAGGGGCAGCTTATCATGTTAGAAGGCCTTATTCTTCAGGAAGGTGCAACGACTTTAAACTTATGAGATCCAGTACATAATCTAAATGGGAGATTTTTAATACTCTTGCTAACTGATAGAACAAGATGTGTGCAAATTAGGAAATACATGTAAAAGAACATACTTAACAGAATCAGTGAACCTTTGATTAGACTGATCACAGAGAAGAAAGAAAAGACCTTGACCCGTCTTAGGTGAAGGGACTGTGACTACTGTACAGAGCGCTCTTCTACGATGCAGTGTCAGCCAAAACACCAGCATGAGTTTGTTTTGGTGAATTTGATTAACTAGCTTGAAAACATAGACACACAAAGGGCTAAGAATAGCCTAAACATTCTTGAAGAAGAACAAAATTCTCTGCTAGATATTAAAACTTCTGAAGCTACCATGACTTAGGCAATCTCTGGTTCTTACACATAGATGTAAGAATTCTAGGTAAGTCTTTATCCAGCAGAACAAAACAAAGAATCCAAAACACATCAAACATGTATGAGTATGTGATTTAAGAAAAGTTGACATTACAGGGCATTGGGAAAGTTTGTTTTTAATCATTGGTTCTGGGTTAATTGGATATCCATTGGGGAGGGAATGAAACTTGATTGCTTATTGCAAACTCATAGAAATCAGATCCAAGAGCATTGCACATTTCTAGATTTGAGGGGTAAAACTCGACTTCTCGAAGATAACATGGAATTTCTTCATGACTTTGGTATAAGGAAAGATTACTTAGACACCAGACATACTAATTTTAAACCATAAGTTGCTAATAATAAGAGATGGTGTTCATCAAAAAATGCCATTAAGAGAGAGACAGTATAAACCACCTATAGCTAGCCGATAAGGGGCTTATAGCCAAAGTGTGTTAAAAATGTAACTTTTAAAAATTTTAGAAATCTGTAAGAAAATGACTCTCGATAGAAAAATCAAAAAGCAGTCTGAATGGGCTTTGCACGTAAGTGGATATCCAAGTGATTAATAAATGAAAAGATGCTCATAGGCAGGAGGAAAATGCACATTAAGATCACAGTGGAATACACACTTATTTTCACGGCTGAAACTAGAAATACTGATGATTCCAAGTGTTAGTGAAGGAGTAGGGCAGAGGGAATTTTCATTAACTGCTAGGGAAAAAACATTGATTAAACAAAAACTGAAGAAAAAGCCAACAGGACAACATCTTTATATACCAAAAAGCAGTCACTTCCTAGTAGCAGTGTTCATAATAGCTCTGAAGTGGAAGCATGCGTGCTAAGTTGCATCAAGCAGTTGTGCCCAGCTCTGAGACCCCATGGACTGTAGCCCGCCAGGCTCCTCTGTCCATGGGGATTCTCCAGGCAAGAAGACCGGAGCGGCTCGCTTGTGCCCTCCTCCAGGGGGTCTTCCTGACCTGGGGGTCAAATCTGTGTCTCCTGTGTCTTCTGCATTACAAGTGGATTCTTCACCTATTGAGTCACCTAGAAACTGGAAGCCATTCAGTGTTAATCAAAAGTAGGGTAAAGTAATGATAACAAACAAGTTTAGAAGTGTATACAGTTTATAAGCTAATATTAAGCAAATTCATGTATATAAAATGAAAATGAATCTGTTTTTGGAGGTCACGGTGGTGGTGACTTTAGGGGACGAGGTCATTAGATACTCATTGGAAGGGATCACATGGTGGTATTGGGTATTTCCGGAATGAGGCAGTTTTTATTTTTCCTATCCCCACAGGACAAGGATGGTTAACCAACTAATGATGATTGATTAAGCTGTATACTGATGATTTTTCTATATGTTATAAAAAATAAGTTTAAATACAATATGTAATAATGACATTGATGATAGAAACAGAAGCTAGTATTTTTTTTTTTTAATGCTTGTTACCTACCAGGTTCTATTCTGCACGTCTGCTTGTGGTATTGCGTTTAAATTTGTACCAAACCTAAAGGAACAGGGTTAGTATATTAAATAATTCCGCTGCTGTAGGTGGGGAAACTAGGACCCAGAGTGGTAAATTGTCATTTAGAGCCTTATAGTCTGTTTGCTATTTATTTATAAGAGTTTTTTCTAGACCATGGTCCTCAGTTCTTTTCATATTCATATAAATATATTCCTTCCTAGTGTTTTATGTTTTTGACATGCAGATTTAACCTCCCTTCCAATTATTTGACATTTAGGTTTCCAGTTTTTTACTGTTGCAAATGATACCAAGATAAACATTCTTCCCTAATGATTTTTGTGCACATCATCTGTAACTTCCTTAGGAAAAAAAGTTTTTTTAACTGAACAAAGTTTCTCTGCATAATTGGATTTATTTTTTAATTATGAGTAATGACATGTTTAGAGAAATTATTCCACCTGTCATCATAGGAACATTATCCTTAACTATTAAGCAGGTATTTATTAATCATACACTTTGGGTCAGTTAAGAACTGTATGCTGTAATGGAGGGAGATGGAAGCTAAGATCTAAAAGTGGTGCTAAGTAGGGGTTGCGGATTTGAGGTTTACCCTGTAGAAATGGTCCCTCTAGCCATCTTATTGAAGAAATAGAGGGTTGCACATGGGCAGAGAGCTACTCAGAATCTACTTCAGTCATCTAAGTGAGGTGCCGAGTAAGGGGATGGAAAGAAGAGGTGAGTGTTCTATAGGAGCTACTTCTGCCTCGTGGCTCAGGCAGTGAAGAATCCGCCTGTAATGTGGGAGACCCAGGCTCAATCCCTGGGTCAGGAACATGCCCTGGAGAAAGAAATGGCAACCTACTCCAGTATTCGTGCCTGGGAAATCCCATGGACAGAAGAGCCTGGCGGGCTATAGCCTGTGGGGTCGCAAAAAGAGTCAGACACGACTGAGTGAGTAACACTTTTCACTTTGACTTTTCATAGGAGGCACAGTCAGCAGGATCGGGCTGCCGTTTGCATGAGGTGGTCAGTGGAGGAAGGGATCTCTACTGTGACTCCCAGAGCTTTGACGCTGGTTGACTGGGTGGAAGACAGTGATGTTTGCTGTGTAGGATATATTCAGTACTCAACATAGGATATGTTCAGTACTTACATAGGATATAGTCAGTACTTAAAAGACTATTTGGGCCAGCCCAGTACTTTCCATGTATTAAAGCACTTTCACCTTCACCACAACTGGTGGAGGGTAGATATCAGGAAATCAGGTGTGCAGGGTCACACAGCTGGTGAGTGTGAAGCTGAGATTTCCGACTGCAGCAGCCCGGCCAGGAATCTGGGCTCTTTACTTTGGGGCCAGCGCCACTGTGTGTTTCGGAACACGCCGGCTTTAGGAAAAGTACCCGGCGCTGAGCAGCGTGGCGTGCGGTGTGCTCAGAGTTTGCTCGTCTGCTCAGGAAGACGAGCACAGGCATGCTGGGGCAATGTTGGCTGGCCAGGGTTTTTCAGTTAGTCTCCTGGCTTTAGTGTCTGAGTGCAGATTTGGTTGAATATAAGAAGAAACGTCTTTCTCTTTTCCTAAAGAAAAATTAACTTTTATTAGTTAGCTGCCAAATACTTTTAGGAACAAAATGTTCATTTTTCTTTTCTGCCGTGAAAAATCACGACCATGTTCCCAGCCTGCCTGCGGGATGATTCTCGATTGTGCACTTTTGTGGCAGGCTTGCCTGGTCTGGGTTCTCTAAGGATTGTGTCAGAAGGGTCAGAGGAATACAGCAGCCTGTGACGTTGTTTCCATGAGTTGTGTACTCAACTTTTAATTACCTGTGTCAGTGGTGAGCACCACCAGGACAAGTTTTTCACCTGGTTTGGGGGGGTGTTGGTTATTGATGGCCGTACACCTGGCAGGTGCAGAGCAGACTCTCAGCAGTGCTCCTTTGAATTGATTTCCAAAGAGCTGACTTATTGGTCAGGCCCTTTGTAGGAATTCAGAGATTACTTTTGCAATTTATGGTTCTTAACTGATAAAGATCTAATATGTAAAAGTAAGCATTAAAGGTTATTTCCACTAGTTTACAAAAAGATCTGCTTAAGGTTTTCTCTTAAAACAGCCTTATATATACTCTTTTTAACCTGTGTTATGTTTTGTACCATTTATTGTTACAGCAGTTACGTTGAGTATCAAATCCTTGTTTGCAGTTTGAAGGGCTTTTATTTAAAGAGTTATCAGATAGGTCAGAAGATAGAAACGTCAGGAGATGAATGCATCCTTTAAACCACACTTCTTATCTTCTCACAGGAGGAGAGACTTCAGCATGCAAACCTTCATCTGTTCGGCTTGCACCGTCATTTTCATTCCATGCTGCTGGCCTTCAGATGGCTGGACAGATGCCCCATTCACATCAGTACAGTGACCGTCGCCAGCCAAACATAAGTGACCAACAGGTTTCTGCCTTATCTTATTCTGACCAGATTCAGCAACCTCTAACTAACCAGGTATGTTCACGATGTATTCCTAATGATTTGTTGGGATGGTAATTTATTCCTCAAAATGGTAAAATAGTAAATAGGCAAAATGCCTTAATGTTTTTCAGTTTTGCATGTGACGGGGGGGATTCCAGATTGACAAAAGATGATGTTAAGAAATTTGCATTTGAAAGTTTGTTGGATTTTTTTCTTTTATCCTATGTATTTTACTTTAATTCACATTTTCTCATTCTGCAGTGAGGCGGAGGGGGGAGTTATTTCTAATAAAGAATATTAGTTAAAATTAAAAAACTTTAAAGCTGTTTATGGGAAAGCAGTTAGGTAGAAAAATGTAAGTTATAGGAAAACAAGTCAGATTCCATTATAGCAAACTTAAAGCACTGACTTCACAGTTAGAAATTACTTTAGTACACTTTTGTAGAATTAAATATGAAACTCATTAAAATTAAAAAGAAAAAAATGTAAATTAACCATGCTTCTCATTTTAAAGATTCAGTGATTTCACACAAGGTAGATAGTTCAAATTGAATTAATGCTGACATCTCTGGATGTATATACATACATGCATGTGTGTATAAGTGTGTATTTTTAATATCTTCCTGAACTAACTGCATCTACTATGTTGATTTTTGATTTGGGGAGATTTTTTTAAAACTAGCTATAGTTCTGGTAAAGTCTCTTTCCCTACTGAGACTATGTGTGCTGCGTGTTGAAAATGACTGTTTTTTTATGTTCTTAGGAATTTTGTTTGTCAGTGTTTAGGTCTATTAATATGAACAACTTAGAAAATTTCAAAGTACTTCCAATACTGGATTTTTGGAGGACATGTGTTTTTTTCTAATTCATTAATACATAGTTTTAATGAGCTGTTGGCTACCGTGCATTGATATGGTGTGGCCTGCTGGTCATGAGACATGGACTTCAGGTCCTGACTCGTGATCTGGCTGTGGGACTCGAGTCAGGTCACCGGGACCTGCCTCTCTGTTGCTTGAGTGTAAGATTGGGACCTTAGAATAGATCCATCTAAGTACCATCTATTTGAGGACCCCCTTGTATATATTACAGTAAGATTTGATCATGGTTGAACTGACTTTACATTTATAAAATGATATTGCATATGAATAATAACAGTCACAGTTAAATAGTAAGGTAAATTATGGCAGGACGTAAGAATTTGTTTTATACAATAAATTGAGGGGTTGTATGTTTAAGAATTTGGAGCAGTTGGTCAGAATTGGAAAGTGTTGTGTGTACCTACATTCTCTGGATACCCAAAAAGTAGTGATAGCAGTCATGTGTTCGCACTGTGCTTTCAAGAAACAAAGTACGTTTGGATTCATTTTCCCGCTTGCTCAAAATCAGCCTATCAGGCAGGTGTCCTGTTTTCAGTCTGTTTGACAGCTGAAGGGCCTGAACGCTCATCGGCGCCTTCTCCGGACTGTACGCAGGCAGTCCTGGGCCCAGCCCAGGCTCGCTGCCTCTCACATGCCGTGCGCTTTCAGTTCTAACACTTGGCGTCTGGGGAGGGGTAGGGGAAACATCCAGTCCTTTAAAGTTATTGTTTGTTTATGTTTATATGATTGTAGTCGGTAATTTAGTTAGCAAAGTACCTATTTTTAGACAAAACCGACGTCTTGAGGGTTATTTTCCAGTAAGAGATAAGTTACTTAGCATTTCCATTTTAAGTTGTAAAATGTTTTTGAAGATTCATATGATGTGAAAAAGACCATCTTTTAAGTAATAATATTCAGCCAGATACTTCTGCCAAACTCCAGAAATCTGGGAACCTAAAAGGCAGTCAAATTAAAAGCTTATTTGGTAACTGAAGTGTAAAGGCACTGACATGGCATGGTCTGCCGGTCATCAGACATGGACTTCAAGTCTTGTCATGAGCTGGTTGAGGGACTTGAGTCAGGTCACCTGGAACCTTCTCTTGGTTCCTTGAATGTAAGATTAGGACCTTAGACTAGACCCACCAGAGTATTTTCTGGCTCTAAGTTTCTTTGATTTTGTTACTTGATATCCAACGTTTCTTACTAATCATCCTATCGGTGCTTTTTAAATAAGATTTATTGTACAAGTGAGTTGAAAGGAACTAACTTAACGTTTTGTTTCTGGTAATTAGTCTTTCGTGTGTGAGTTTGTTTCATATAAGTTTAACCACAGTTTCAATGAAAAGATAAATGTAGTAAAAGTAAATGTAGACAAGTATGATTGATGTTCAGAATGCTGTCTCTCTCTGGGCTGTTACAGTTTTCAGAGTACCTTTCATGGTTCTTAAACTGTGTATTTGGATATGTCTTACATATGTTATTCAGGTTTATTAACAGCTCTCAAAATAGTAAAAAAGGCAGGACATAGTGTTTCTCATTCTCCACTACGTATGAAAATACAAGGGAAACGTAAAGAAAATAGATGGAATAGGTATTATTAAACTAGAAATCAGTTTTAAATGAAGTCCTGGCACTTAACACTGTGGACTTTTCTCAAGGAAGAAGGTTGTTTTAGCTCTTGTAACATAGCTCGCAGGAGGTGTGAACTCCTGCTTTGTGTGTGTCTGTGAGAGAGTGTGATCTGGGTCTTCACACAGACAGGAGTGTTGGGATGAGGCTTCTTGGGGCCTCCAGAGCCAGAGAGCTGTGGCCGCGGGCGGGGAGCTCACAGCCTCCCTGTTCAGTGAGGACCCTGGGGCGGTGTGGAGGCTGGGGGCTCCTTCCTCTGTACACCGCAGGCTTTTGCCCAGCAGTGGAAAGGAGGAAGGGAGCTGGCCACGCTACCTTCTCCTGACCTTGTGACTGTGAGAAGGTGGAAGCGGATAAAGCATCAGGTGCTTTGAGTCTTAGTATAGATTTAAACTGAATGTGTATTTGGACAAGTTATTTTCTAATTCTGGATTGGTGCTTATTGTACCCCAACAGTGAAAAACAGAAGATAGAGTTACTTAACATGAAATTACAATGAAAGCTAGTGAAGAAAGAGTTGTTTAGTTTGTAGAAATGAATTTGTTTTTTCCATTTATTTTCAGTGCCTGCTCTGTACAACGCACCATCTGAAGCACTGAAATGCAGTCTTATCTAAAGGCCAGTTTTTTGTGGGTGGAATTCATCTGGTTTATACATACAGATGCCCCTGAAATAGTAACTTCTGTGGCCAGAGTACATAATATTAAGGTATTTAGAATTAGCTAATTGATTTGGCCTTGTTGGCAGTTTGGCTAGTTGGAGAAGAGGAGAGCAGTGTTTTGTGACATGGTAAGCCCATAGCACACACTCACATACTGAGTGCAGAAAACTTGTTAGGGTTTGAGTATAGATGCAGAGGAAACTAATGTTAATAATGGTTTAAGAGAAGCTACAGAGGCAGAACAGTTCTGTTGTCTTAAGTTGTTGTTCCCAGGTTGTAATCCTCAAATTTGGCTCAAAATTTCCACTTCTTTCATAGAAAAAAAAAAGAGAGGAAGTATCGCTAGGTAAGCACTACCATCACACCATCTCTCCATACCGCAGGGATGGGGTTTTTTCCTGTTCTGTCCTGACAGCCCTCTTCTCTCTGTTTGCTTATTGTGGGTTTGTTTTCCCAAGACTGCAGACACTTCTCTGAGGCCTTTGTGTGATGTCTCGTGTCTCTACCCCTCCGACTGACTAGGGTGCCTTTGAGAGAGGCCGTCCCAGGACTCGGTAGTTTTGCTAGTACGTCTGTTACGAGAGCTGGACAGCAGCGCAAGGGTGACTGGCGGTGGTGACTGAGGGTACCTTGAGGCCTGTGACTGCCTTGGGGGGTCTGTTGGTTGCGGAAGACCCCCTGGGAACCCCTCTGCTGAGGCTTGAGACGAGGCGGAGAGGAGGGTGAGCACACCCTCGGGACCACTGCTGTGCTGGTTGCAGTATTCCTGGGTGTGTTGTGTTTGTGTTTGGAGGATGTTTGTGTTTCCTGTTCCATCCCCTATCTAGCACGAAGCCCGCAGTTGAACTCGGACTGCTTATTGGATGATGAAAGAGACCGTGGGTTAGCTTTGGGTTGGAGTGTGGTTGAAATGAGTTTTTTAAAAGAAAATTTCATTAGCTTTAAGGTGTTCTCTGGAACTTATGTGGTCAGCTGCTAGTGTAATTGTAGATAAGGATATTGGTATTATGGATTCTCTTGTTTATTCAACACACATTTATTAAAGGTCTACTGTGTTTCAGATGGTATGTCTACTCCTGCTGTAGGCAGCAGGATTACAGCACGGGACAGATATATCTGCCCCATATGGCATTTTCCCAGTAGTGGAAGGAGAAGGAGGAAAAACTAAGACCAGTAACCCAGTACCCGCATTTCATGATATCAGGTGGTGGCAGGTGCCGTGCAGGGTGGGCAGAGGGGGTGTGGAGGGGGGAGTTGGATGTGTTAAGGCAGAGGGTGGGGCTCCTCGGTCAGCCTGAAGACACAAGAGCAGATTTCAGCTGTGCTCCCGGCAGGCACTGCGCAGAGCGTGGGGTCTGTCTGCCTCTTGTGAGCCAGGTCAGGCTGGAGGAGCCATTCAGAAGAAATTTTCCCTTAGGCTGATTGTACGGTGGAGAAGCTCTCTTGGGCATCCTCTTGCTTGTCTCCTGGACCAGGGGTGTTTCTGTAATCCTCTCGTTTAATTTGGGGAACAAAATTGAAGGGTTGACAGCTGGGCACATTGTCTTCTAATTTCATTTATTTGCTCCAGTGATTGTCTTCCCTGGATTCCGGTTGAAAGAGATGACCAAGGGAGAATGCTCCCTGCTGTAATGTGGACGTCTGCTTTGCTTTAAACCCGTGTGCGCAGGCTGCAGAAGGGGGGTTCACACCAGCACAGTGTAGTTAAAGTGGTAGTCTTCTCTGTCTGTTTAAGGTGATGCCTGATGTTGTCATGTTACAGAGGCGGATGCCCCAAACCTTCCGTGACCCAGCTACTGCTCCCCTGAGAAAACTTTCTGTTGACTTGATCAAAACTTACAAGCATATTAATGAGGTAAGAACTATTGATTTGTTACAATGGCGTCTATCTTGCCATAGAGTGAGGAAACGAGTTATTTTGTAATGTGTTTAAACATGCTAAAATTGCTTTTAATTCCCAAGGATTGTCATATTGATGATTATTATGAAGACTGGTAAGTTAGCGGTTTATGGATAAAAGCATCATAATTATGTAAAAGAAAGATGCTATATAAACAAGAACTGTAAAAAGATAATTGTGGATAGCTTCCCTTCTTTCTCAAAGTTATATTTAATACACGCTGAGTTGTCATTTCTGTAATACCCCTTCTCCAAAACCTCAGACGAAAGGGAGGGAATAATGATAATGTAAAAATATGAAAATGTTACAGAATTTTGCTTAAATTTTTACATATCTGTTTCTGCTTTTGCCAGAGATATCAGGAAGCTCTGAGATGTGTTTAATGCTCAGTTAACAGGCATTTGGCCTAATTTATCTGATAATATCTATATTTATGTGGTTTAAAAGTTTCTTTTTAATGTGTGTTCTTTTTTATCTGTATCTTTTCATTGTAAGATACCTGAAAGCCTTTTTGGCGGGATTAAGTAGGATAAAAAACATAGCACTGTGAATTACTCATCTTCCAACTTGACTCTTCACTTTCAGAAATTATTTTTCTGGTGTTTTAGCCCTTTGGCTTGGTTGTTATTTGCTCCTAACATCAACTCTAGCTGTGTAATGAATTGTTAAATGAGCTTTTCAGGAGATGGGTGGTCATGCCTGTGCTGTCTTTCGTCTTCCAGTGGGTCCCTACATACTTCCACATTAAAGACTTATCTTCTACCAGCTTGAGAAACATTTAAAAAGATGTTCTTATGTGTGTATAAATTTCTTAGCAGTTTGGTGCTGTTTAAAGCCAGTATTATTGTGGCAATGTGGCAAGATAAAATTGAAGTGAACTCAATGAGGAACATTTCTAAGTTGGATTTTGTTTACAATTTACATGTTCTAAAAGATGTTTCAAACTAGTTTCTGGTCATCTGAAAATAATCTGATAAACTAATACTGTTGAGTAGCTTTGTTAAAGCTTGTTTTTAACTGTTTTGTTACCTTTTAAACTAGTTTTTCTGATGTTGCTTTATGCAGTGTAATTTGTCATTTCCTCAAAGTTAGTTACCAATTACTTGAACTAGTGCCTCGTTAATTACCAACTACTAGAACTATTGCCTAGTCCACCTATTATTTTTTTTGCTAGTCTTAGATCTGTTTTGTAAGCAAAACAGATAGAAGGAAAACAACTCAATCTGTGACCAGCCACAACTTCTATGACCTTTAGTGTGGGGGGAGGGGAGCTGACTGGTTTTCGTTAATTTGTTGTTAAAAGCTTAAAACCGGGCCTATCTCAGGGGCCCTTTTTAGTAAAATATCAGTTCATATAACCTTTCAACTTTCATTTCTGAAATCTTTTGCTTTAGGATCAAATATAAAATTAAGGTTGACTAGAAGGAGGCGCAAGAGGAGTTGAATGTTAGGAGGATGAAATTGTTCTTTATTTTGTTTAGCATTTGTTGTTTACATCAGCACATACATTTCCCCCAAGTCCTTTATATTATACACTCTTATGATCTATACCAGCTCACTGTATGTAAATTATACCTTAGTTTAAAACATAAACGTAAATCAGGTCCTGTTGCTTTTCTTGAATGGGAGACTCTGGCCTACTCACTTAATATCTCTTATTTATAAAACATATGAACAGTATAATTCTAAAGTGAATTTCTCTGTAGATGTTTTTCATTTGATGTATATTAGTATTATTCTGTAATTCAAATAGCAACTATAGAAATTTATTTCATTTTTTTTGTTATATAGAATAAAAATTCTTCAATTTCTTACTGATGGCAGATTTGTCTCATATGTACCCTTGATATATATGTATATTTATGGTGCCACCCCATGCCTCATAATTTTTAATTACACAGTTAACACTACATTTTCTCATTTCAGGTTTACTATGCAAAAAAGAAGCGAAGACACCAACAGGGCCAGGGAGACGACTCTAGTCATAAGAAGGAGAGGAAGGTTTACAACGATGGTTATGATGATGATAACTATGATTATATTGTAAAAAACGGAGAAAAGTGGATGGATCGTTACGAAATTGACTCGTTAATAGGCAAAGGTTCCTTTGGACAGGTAATCTAACAGAAGTCGCTGAATTTTATAAATGAGAACTTCTCAGAGGCATGTTATTATAGCCTTTTCTCAGTAGTACACTCCTAATATTTGTAAATAGCTACAAAGAACAGATATGTAAGTATTTGGGTTATTATAGTTCTCTAAAGTTAGTAAAACTTTATCAGCTGCATCAGCTATAAAAACCCCACTTTTTTTTTTGTTTCACAAAGTTACTGTAGCTACCAAGTAGTTATTTTACTAAATGATTGATTTGAATCACTAACAGGTAGTATTGCCTCTTTCACTGGGCTTTTAGCCTCTGGATGGTTCTTCATGGTGTATGCTGGAGATAATTACCTTCCTGCCTGACACTCCTCCTTCAAAGGGGGAAATGACTATTTTCAGCTGCCTCAGCAGGTGTCCCCTCACCTTGGAGACTTGGACTCCCAGGGCTGGGCCCCGAGCCTGTCCTCAGCGCCTCCTCCAGTGCCATCAGGCCTCTCTGAGTGGACAGAGGGTCTCCTGTTAAGTCCTCACGGCATCAGCATTGCTAGTACTATGACGGGTATCATTCCAATGGGTGGGATCCTTCAGGTAGCTTTCACCCGGAAGAGCGAGGGAGGCGCTCCAGCGGGCCTAGTGTTTCTCTTCGTTCTGGCCTCTTTTCTCTGCCTGTGGCTCTCGTCTTTCACTTGCCCAGGACGAAGCACAGACCCTAACTGTGTTAGCCTCTTGTATGACCTGTGCCCAGAATCAGAGCTGCCAGACCTTCTTCCTTGGCCTCTTAAAAAGCTTTTCTCTGGCTGTGAGTCTCCCATCTGTTTCCACCTGTAAGTCTCCGTGTCTTATCTCATCCTATGTCAAGTCACAGAGCTGTTTGGTTTGAGGTATGATTTCCTGTTAATTCCAGTCTCCTTCACCTTGTAGCTTTTGTGCAGTGAGTCAGTTACTAATTTGCAATCCAAATAATTACTTTTACTTTTTTGGTGATTTTTTTTTTTTTTTTAAACTAGGGAACCTGCATACTCTTACTTATCTGTTCCTGCCCTGCAGGAAAGCAAAAACATGCCTCTTTTCAACCAGTGAGGAAAAATTCAGCATGTGTTACTCTAATTATTCTTAGGGCAAAAAGTATACTAACAGCTATTAGCAGCCACAGCTCTGGGCCAAGACAGATCAAGCTTAGACCCATAGGGAAATGGGAATGAAGTTCTTAGAAGACCTTGTAATTCTGGTGTGGCTCTTCCAGGCCCCAATGTTGTGTGTCTAACATGTCTGTCATTTTCCATGATTCCAGAGACTTTATATAATTATACGTGGTTTGGGGCCTTTCCTCTTGATGAGTAACCTCTTCTCCTGAGTCAGGATTCTCAGTGTCTGGGGAGTCCCTCTTTATAAAAGTATTGTGACCCCATGGACTGTATATAGCCCACCAGGCTCCTCTGTCCATGGGATTCTCCAGGCACGAATACTGGAGTGGGTAGCCATTCACTTCTCCAGAGTTCCTGACTTCTCCCTTCTTCCCGACCCAGGGTTCAAACCTGGGTCTCCTGCATTGGCAGGTGTATTCTTTACCATCTGAGCCACCAGGGACGCCATTTCTTTCACTTTTCACACTGTGGCAGAAGCAACTTCTGCTTTCTCTACCCAAGCCGTTTAATGACAGGCATTTCTGAGGCCTGCCTTTTAAGTAAGGCTGTGAACACCCTAGGTAGAGTGAGTGTCCTCTCCACCTTCAGAATTACCCCGTGTTTAGGCAGTCCTCTCTGCAGGACGCTGCTCTGACTTCTCCGGTGTACGCCGTGAAAACTGGCCGTGCTGCCTGTTCTCAGCCGAGTTTCCCTCAGTATTCAGTCTTTGAGCTCACCGTGAGCTCCCTCCTCCCCCCGACTTTCATTTTCCCATACTCTTGCTTGCTAAGAGCAAATGAGCATAGCAAACCTGTGACGACATAGCCTTCTTTGACATCCAAACCAGTCTACCAGATCAGACTGATTGATACCTTTCTCCTAGGCTGCAGTATGTTCAGGGTCAGGACATGTCGCTTGCCATATTGTCTGGGTCAGACTAAATTCTCTACCAGATCCTCATCAAAGAAGTGGCTCCTACGTTTCTTAAGGCAGTAGTTGTCAGTCTTGGTTGACGACACGTTGAAGTCTTCAGAGCACTTCAGGGGTCAGGGGGTGGGGTAGGGAGAGAGGACAGTGTCTGGTCTCCAGACAGTTAAACCAGCCTCTCTGTGACTGGATTCTGAGCATTGGTATTTTTGGAAACAGTCTACTGAATGTGTCATTCGGGGTTGGAAACATTGCTTTAGCACTGAGCCGGTTAACTATTTGCTAAGTCAGTGAATAGCTGGGCCCCTGTTAGTGGCCTTTGTCCTGGAGACCGTTAGGATCCGGGCAGTGGACTGCAGCCCCTGGGACAGTCTCCACGGTCAGTGAAGCAGGAGAGTATCAGACCCACTCAGTTAGAGGTTTCCATGGGTCCCTCTGATTTAAAAGACACATAAGATTAACTTTTTGCAGAAATACAGTTTTTAAACTATGTATTTTCTAATTTATGTGTAAATTTGTTTTACACATAAATTTGTTTTTTAAATGAGTAAAATTTTAAACTAGAGGTGTGCATAGTGATTTGCACATGACTGTTCCGCTTCCTTAGCATTCATTCTCATTTTAAAACTCAAAATCCCCTAATTACAGCATTTTAAACTTATTTCCTGGTAATTTGTTTATCACTTTTTTTAAGCATAAACTAATTCTTCTGGTATATGTCTTAAGTTTTTATCTGTGAGAATATAATTTAAATTTAGAAAGTTATCTACATTTTTCAGATAACTTAAAACCTTTTAAATATCACATATGCTTGGAATTTAAACCAGCTGTTTTTTTTTTAATTAAAAGAGTAGAAGAATTGTTTTAACGATGCTATTTAGTGAGGAGTTAAAAAACCAAAGTACGTGTCAAGATTCCTAGTTTACTTCTGAAGGAGGAAAATAGTCTAATTTTAAGAAAGTCGTCTGTTTCATGGATGTTTAAAAATACTGTAAGGATGTGAAAGAAACCCATTTGAAAAATTGATTTAAAGTAACAAAGTAGTAAATAGATGCTACTGAATGGAAATGAGTAGGATCTCTCTTAGGAAGGTCAGAGAAACAGTTAGATAAATGTACAATTAAGGTGAACTGTAAGCTGTTATTAATTTGTTCATTGATGAAATATTTGTTTTTTTTTCTTTTTTAGGTTGTAAAGGCATATGATCGTGTGGAACAGGAATGGGTTGCCATTAAAATAATAAAGAACAAGAAGGCTTTTCTGAATCAAGCCCAGATAGAAGTGCGACTTCTTGAGCTCATGAACAAACATGACACTGAAATGAAATACTACATAGGTAAACAGGCAAACAAGGCACAGTGTGCCCTAACCCAGACGGTTTGAGCTAGTGATTATTCTTGTATGAAAAATGCGTTAATTTTATCTTAAAGTGATTGAATAAAAAATTCAGTTGTTTCGGTTGGGAGGGCATCAATTTATATATGTTACTTAATCTACCAGTAATATTTTAAATCTTTGGGAATGTGCGTTCCAGGTGTATGTAGTGTAAAAACAAATAAGAGTCGCATCTTTTGTTTTCCAACTTGCACGCATCATTTGTTTGCTCTAATGATGCTTGTTTATCTAGAGAGTTCTCTTTCTGTTAACTCTAATCATTCTAGTACAGCTCAGAAATTAGAAGTGAGCGAGATTATGTTGTTAATGGTTATAGAAGCATTTTTGGAATGTCTGAGCCAAGATGTCGGACTCTTCTTGAGAAATAGCCCACATTTCTTGAGAAGTAGCCCACATTTCTTGAACTCCTACTGTGTTCCTTATGCTTTTCTTCCATTGTGTGTAGCCATAGCAGTCCTTTACAGAAGGAATTAATAGTAGAATCCTTATATTACAGGTTGTTTGTACAAAGACTAACATACCCAAGGTTGCAGGGTTCTTGGAGTGAGAATCTTAATCTGCTTTGATCTAACTTCATAGCTTATGTCTGTTTCCTTATCCTGTTGTGTTTCTTTTGAGTACGGAAAGACGAGCCAGAAGAGTTATGAAACTAGTGAAGTCTAGGGCCAGTTGATACATGGGATACAACTGATACATGATCTTCTAATTATACATTCTTTAATACTGTTCTTAATCAAATCAAGACCACTGATTGTCAGACACCACTATTAGTTTATGTGCCACTAAGAATCAGATTGCTGCCAACTGTGAAAACAAGATGCTGTTAGTTTTAAGATAGAGACTTTTGTTGTTGTTCAGTCGCTAAGTCCTGTCTGACTCTTTGTGACCTCATGGACTGTAGCACACCAGGCTCCTCTGTCCTCCACTATCTCACAGAGTTTGCTCAATTTCGTGTCTTTTGAGTTGGTCATTTTCTTCCGCCTCCTTCTCCTTTTACCTTCAGTCTTTCCCAGCATCATGGTGTTTTCCAGTGAGTCGGCCCTTCATATCAGTTGGCCAAAGCATTTTAGCTTCAGCTTCAGCAACAATGAATAGAGACTTTAGGACCAATTAATTATAGACAGTAAAAAAAAAATAGATGTATATTAGCAACTCACGTCAGAAATGCTAGCTTTACCTGATAAGCACGAGGTTAAGTTTTATTAGCAAAGTCCTGTTTAAGAAATGAAGAGAGTGTTGTGTTTCTTGGTCCTCCCAAAATAATAGAAACAGAAACAAAAAACTGATGTTTAAAGGTGTATGGTTCAGATAGATTTCATTTATGGAACACCCTTCACTCCCCATTGATATAATAAAATGAGCTTATACTGTTTTTTTCTTACTGTCTTTGTAGATATCTGATATAACCCGTAATAATAACATTTGTGTTCAAGATCCTTTCTTTTCACACTCATTGCGTGTTTGCTGTTCACTCTCAGTGAACTTAGTGTGAGGCGGGCACTTCTCCATTCAAGGGCCTGAGGAGGCTAGGAAGGACATTCTGTTCTAAAGATGCTTGACTTACAGTCTGAACATACCTCCCTTTTTCCTCACTCTTGTGTGTTTTATTTTGAAGTTTTGCCTAAATAGTAGAGAAAATGTTGATAGCATCACTATTATTATGTATTTCTGCTTTATTGAAAGAAAACACAGAATGTTAGCTACTTGGTTAACTTATAATAATTATTATTTTTGTTTTTAATAAACTGACTTTAGTGATTGCAGGAATCATTACAGATACTCTTGGATGAGTTTTTTTGTTTTTAGGTTCTTATTTAGGAAGATGATGAACTCACATACAGTGTCTCAAGAAACTGAGGTTCTGTACTGAAAAAAGCACAGAGAACTTTAGACACAGCCCTGTCAGTCAGTTGAGTTAATACATGAAATTTAAGGTGGCTGGAAGTTGTATTGCTCTTTTATGGTGTAAATAACTTTAATTTTGAAATGATTTGATCAATTTGCTCTGAGTTTTAGTCTTAAGTCTTTGAACTTTAAAAAAAAAATCTACTTTTTTACCACATAGCATAATTTCTTATCCGGATTATTTGGTACCTGCCATGGTCTAATTAAAAAAGCATTCAGTTTAGGTCTAAAACAGTCTTGCCAACCCTCCATTTTCCCCGAAGCTCAGTTTAAAAAACGGAAGATACATATTTGTGTCTGAGCTTTGACAATGTCTTTAGTGCTCAGCACACTTATAGATGCGCAGTAAGTGGGTGATGAATCAGTGGGATTGAGTGGATTGATCTTCCATCAGAAGAACATTCTGATCACAGCTTCTTAGAGGGATTTTCATAGTCACATTTGAATTCTGACATCGGTTACCTTTTGCACTCCTCTAGTGGCTGCTGCTTAATTAGATCAAAACTGTTACTTGCACTATGTCTCGGGGGTATCTTCTGTAACATGGAGCTGTGTTCTTCATTTTAAACCTGTGAGCTCGGTGATGAAGAGCAGATATTAGACATTCTTCTGTAACTTGCTGAGAGTTGAGTTGTACTGTGTTACTTATCCTGACTTTCCATCGTTCGTGTCTGGAATGATCTAAAAACAAGAGTGGCGAGCTTCTAGGGAGGCCGTTCAGGTCTACCACCGGGGCGGCAGTGTGTGCCTGTTCTCAGGGACCAGACACGGAGTAATGCCGTAGTTATTCCAGATAGATCTGTAGAGAAACGTCTGTTTAAATTATACCAAAAGGCCAAAATGGAGGTAGCCTTGACAGATGGTGGTTTTCTGTCATTTCAGTTGAGTTACAGTTGCTCATTTGGGTATATGTGAGAGCTGTCATGAGATGGGCAGTGACCTCCTCTGGTGTGAAGTTAGCATTAACACTTAACAGCACAGCTTTTCAAAGTGGTTTATTGACTGTTAAGCCTTTTAAGAAGGTCAGTAGTGACACCAAGTAATGTATTCTATACTCTTTCCCCATTAATAAGCCTACTCATAATTTCTTGTGATGGAGCTTTATTTTGAAATTTCCCCAAAGCTTCAATCTTGAATAAGAATCCTATGTACCAGTTTGATGAACATAATCAAATACACTGATTATGAACTCTTAGTACCTTACAGCATGATTTCAAAGCCTTTGCTGTATTTGCCTAAGAGAAAAAAAGTCTTCCTTTGACAATTAGTTGTTTTAGAAAATTATTGGTGAGATCTAAGGCTTAGCAGAGCAGATTGTGTGTATATATCAAAGCCTTCCCAGAGAGGGCTGCCAGGGACAGCGTTGCCGCAGGCTGGACATCCCAGTGGGTGGAGCTTAGATGCAGCCTTGAGGTGTAGGGCTCCCTGGGAGTCAGCAGTGGTTTCTCTCACGTGTGAGGATAAAACTCTTATTCGCGGTGTCAGCTTGCTGCTTGTGTTTGCAGACCTGACTTGGGCCTTCTGGTGGGACTTCTTACATCACACTGCTTACTGCCGGACACTGGACAGTACATTGATTCAGCAGATGGCCAGTTTTGACATTCTTAACTGCTGACAGAATGTGCTGCTTACTGCAGAATGCTCATCTCCCAATTTTAATTTGATAAACTCTGTATTTGACATTGGCATTTTATAGAGTATTGTAGAGTTCATGTATGTGTTATTATTATTTTTTTGGGGGTATGTATAATTTAAAAGGAAAATTTTTTTTTTCTCTTTCAGTGCATTTAAAACGCCACTTTATGTTTCGAAACCATCTCTGTTTAGTTTTTGAAATGCTGTCCTACAACCTCTACGACTTGTTGAGGAACACCAATTTTCGAGGTGTCTCCTTGAACCTAACACGAAAGTTTGCACAACAGATGTGCACTGCACTGCTTTTCCTTGCGACTCCAGAACTTAGTATCATTCACTGTGACCTAAAACCTGAGAATATCCTTCTTTGTAACCCTAAACGCAGTGCCATCAAGATTGTTGACTTTGGCAGTTCTTGTCAGTTGGGGCAGAGGGTAAGTATATTGCAGAACTTGTGGTTTAAAATTAGAATTTGGTAAAACAGTGTAAGTAGATACTGAAATCTTACTAATCTGTATACAATTTGAAGGTAATTACAGGGTTGTTATCTTTAAAATCTTGAATTACCTGTGTTGATACCTGTTTTGGGTAATACCTTTTAAAATGCAAACATTGATAGTAATACTTTGAATTAGAAGGTATTTGTTTTTCAAAGTTTATGTTCAATTATGTGTGTGCTAAAAGAGAGAAAACAGGATGGATATAAATTATGACGTGTCCAAGCTATTGGACACATTGGTTTGGTTTAGTTGCTAAGTTGTGTCCGACTCTTGTGACCCCATGGACTGTAGCCTGCTAGGCTCCTCTGTCCATGGGATTCTCTAGGCAAGAATACTAGAATGGGATCTTCTTCTCCAGGGGATCTTCCCGACCCAGGGATCGAACCTGGGTCTCCTGCATTGCAGGCAGATTCTTTACCAACTGAGCTACGAGGGAAGCCCAATGGACATATTAGTTTGTGCTAAACAGACATGTTTTTTGAGTGCTAAAAGCAAACAGGTCCATAGCAATGAGTAGATTTAGGTTTAGTAGATATAGGAAAGCAAATTTTTCCTTCTATTCTTTCTAGCATTATGAAAACTACTCTTGTTTTGCATATAAAACAAAAGTTATAGGTTGTTCTCTTTTTGAAACCAACTAGGATCACTGTTTGATAATACTTTATTTAAAATGTTTGTTTACTTGTAGGTATTGAACTTGCATTTCTTTTTTTTTTTTAAAGGTAAAAACATAACTGACGTTCAGATATTAGTGTTTCATATTGGGTTTCCATTTCTTGTTTTTCCAAATTAGTGAAATTTTCAGTCTTGTCCAACTTTATTCTAGCTTTTAAATAAACAAGGTTAATTTAATCATAAAGGTTTATCACCAGTTAACAAGATTGTCCTTTTGTTACTTCCTGCAAATTATGGTAGCAATGCTGTATTGAAATAATTTTTTTAAATGGAAGGAATAGGAAGCAAAGTTTGCAGTTTCAGTGCCTCTGAAAATCAAAAGAGATGCTCGTAGTTGTTAATAAGGGATAGAGTATATTATAAATGGAAAATATGTGCCTACATTGAGTCATTTGAATAGATTTTAAGACTTGCAAAATTTTTTCCTATTTGAACCAAGTTGTATATTCTTTGCTAATATCAAACATTACTATCTCTCTCCTGCCAGATGGAGACCACTATACTTTTAGCTCAGTGGCTTCTTAATTATTGGGTTGGCCAAAAGTTCGTTCAGGTTTTTCCATTGCTTGGAAAAACCTGAGCGAAATTTTTGGCCAATAAATGTGTCAGAATCCCATGGGAAATCATTTCCAAAATAGACATGCAGCGGCCTTCCTCCAGGTCTGCTGGCTCAGTGTCAGAAGGTAGCAGGGTACAGCCTTGCAGATACCCCACTATTGCTCTGCAGATCACCGACTGGGTAGTAGGTGACAGAATTCTTTCATAAGCTGGGAAACACGAGTGTCAGTAGTAGCTTGTCTTGGGGCTTCAGGGTGCTCTTGGCTTCTAAAAACTCGGTGATGTAATTCTTCTTCCTGGGCCCTTTCGGTTAGACTTTCTTCACTTCGAGAAGGCCTTAAAGTCGGGTGGACCTGCTCGTGGGCTCCCGAGCTGATTCTCAGGTTCAGCTGGAGTTTGGGGCGGGCCCCCGCAGCCTTCTGAGAAAGCATCTTGGTGCCGCTAGCTGCCCAGTTTAAGTTAGCAGGGTGGTGTTTGGTGTTCTCCCTTTTAGAATAAAGCTATCTTTGCTTTCGTGATATTTCTGGATACAAATTTTAAATGGCCAAGTGAAGATGAATTGATCTTTGAAGACATTCTCAGATTATTCCATTGCAAATAATCCATTTCAAGATTTTCTTTTTCTAGGAAGTCTTAGGATGGGGAGGCTGATGGGGTAAAGAAGTGATTAGTCAGAAATGACCCCCAATTGAATCTTTGCGTGGCTGTGTTTCTAGATTTATCTGTGAGACTAGTACAATACAGATGTCTGAATTTTCAATTACATTGTGCTGAGTTTGACTCTTAACACTTTGAATTAACTTGAAGAAATTTCATTCTTTAAGTTAATTTAAATATAATTTAGCTGTTAAATTAATGGTAGCCACAGCAGCAAAGAGTAGTTAGGGAAATAAATTGTTCTCAATCATATTTTCTTCTAATAAGGCATTATTCTTTTAGGATATATCTTGAGTACCAGTTAGGACTGAAATAAATAAAGGGCTTGAATTTTTTATATATGCATATTTTGTATTTCCGAGTCAGAGTTACCACTCCCTTGAAACATTTAGTTCTTTAAAACAATATTCATAGTCTAATGTTGAAATCAGTAAACATTACTGATAACCCAGTTATTTTTTTTTTTCTGTTCATGTTAGACTTGTGTTCTTTATACAGTGTTGACTCTAATTAAAGTGTTACTGAAATCTGTTTCAGATATACCAGTACATTCAGAGTCGCTTTTATCGGTCTCCAGAGGTGCTGCTGGGAATGCCTTATGACCTTGCGATTGACATGTGGTCGCTGGGGTGCATCTTGGTGGAGATGCACACCGGGGAGCCTCTCTTCAGTGGAGCCAATGAGGTGCGTGCATGGTTCCTCTCCGTTCTCAGTCTCTGATAGTGTGACCTGGGAGCTGGTTCTAGGAAAACGGTCTGTTTATCAACCTCGATCGTTCAAGGGTTTGGTCAGTTTTAAACTTGCTTTATCCATTTAAAATTGTTTCAATTATGTAATGGTGAGTTTAGAATTATGAGATGGGAAGTGAGATCTTTAAATCTACCAGTGAAGGGAAATAGTAAATTACATTAGAAAATGTTAAGTCTTTTGGTATAAATTTTACAGATTTTAAGTATAATAACAGAAAAAGATGATAGTGATGAAATGAGAAACGATCCTAAAAACTGTAAATTTTGAGAGTATGATGTGGGATTAAAGTATTAGTAAATGATGACCAGTGAGATTGATAGATACATTTGATCTGAATAATTTAGGATAAATTAGGACTCCAGAATTTTGGAGCTGCAGACGAAGCGTAATTCTTGTAGTCAACAGGTGTTCGGTCTGTATTCTTAGAAGATCTTTGGAGGTCAGAGGCAGTGGCGGGAAGGTGAGGGCAAGGGAGAGGGGGGCGTCTAAGCTCTGTACAGTTGGAGGAACAGCTTTCATTGTCTTTAAAACTGTTTTTGGAGTTTTTTTGTTTGTTTTGTTTTTAAAGAAAAATTAACCATTGCAGATCATGATCAGTCCATTCATTTATACATGAGAAAAGAAAGGCTAATGAAATTTCATGACACATCAGTCAAGTAGTGTCAGAAACCTGTCCCTTCCTCCTTCCTGCTAGCTCATTTCACTCTTGCCAGTGAGCTGCTCTTTGGCAGTAATTGCTGTAGTGTGCATTTGTTTTTCTTTGAATAATAAATAATATAAAGGTAATAGTACCTTTTTCATGGACTTAAGCACCATTAAGATCACCTGTGAAGCTTCAGTGTCTGCCGTCTCACGCATGGTGAAGCCAGAACCCTTTGAGTAGCTGGGAAGCCCCTCCCTCTCTCTGCCTCCCGACCTCTCTCCGCCTGTCCCTCTGTCCATCTCCCTGCCCAGTCCCCCCAGCACACAGCCCCCCTCAGGTCCCTCGGAGGCCAGAGGGCCCACACGTTCGTGCCTGGGGGGCTTTTACTCTGGCCCTCGATTTTCTCTCCTGTCACCTGCTTGTGAAGCCTTTCACGACACCCTGTTTTAAGTTGCAGTGCCCCCCTCGCTCTCACGTCCTTTTAATTTTCTCCCATTCTTAGTTAGTAGCCGGATCTGATTGTGTGTGTGTTCCTTGATGATCTCTTCCTCTGTAACATAAACTGCTGGCCAAGATTTTTGTCTTTATTCCAAGGGACATGGTTTCTAGCATATAGTAGACGTTCGGGTTTTTTAGTGAATAAATTTGCACCTTAAAAGATACTTTTTTATTGGGTCCACACTTTATTAAATAGCCTTTCATTTTTTTTTTTTATCCCATTCTCCCCAAACTTTAACTTCACAATCCCAGTCATTCTTTATTTTCCATTGTACCCATGATCACCTGCCATCCCATAGATGTGTGTATGTGTTTGCTGAATCATCTGCCCTCTCCTCTGTGGAATGTGGGACTTGGGCAGGTAGGGGCGTTATCTCTTTTGTTCATTATTGTGTATTTACTGCCCACAGGAGTGCCTGACACACAGGAGAAACTCTCTTTTATCATTTGTGAATGGATGAGCAGATGTAGGATGTTTTACAGTAGAAATTATAGGTTTTTTTTTTGTTTTCGTTTTTAATACAGGTAGATCAGATGAATAAAATAGTGGAAGTTCTGGGTATTCCGCCTGCTCATATTCTTGACCAAGCACCAAAAGCAAGAAAGTTCTTTGAGAAGTTGCCAGATGGCACTTGGAACTTAAAGAAGACCAAAGACGGAAAACGGGTAAAATAGGGAAATAATATTTTTGAGCCTTTGTTACTTTCACTGATTGTCTTTATAACACATTTTTTTATTTATTTGAAATCAGTGTTACTGAAGTCGGCTGTTAACAGTAGTTCTGTTGAAGACTCGGGTATAGATTTTCTTCACAAGCTGGTTTTAGCTTGACCTGAGCTATCTGTATGACCTGAACAATGTTTGGTTAATGCTCAGTAGTCTCTTTAAGTCTTCATTTTGAAACTGTCTGCCTGCCTTTTGAGACTGCTGATCAAATCACCATGTCTTGTTACCACAGTAGAGTCAAGTCAGTTTGACCTTTCTCCTGGTTTGGGTATACATTGAAATCGCAGTTAAGAGTGCTGCAGATGGGAACAGTAGAAGTCATAACTGCAGTGAATGGCCTTTTTTTGTAGTTCAGATGAGAGTAAAGGATTTCTGACTTAAGCAGTTTGTGACAAGAATCTGAACTGACTGGATGGTCCTTTGGTAGATTTCAGTTTCTTAGCTTGGATAACGGGGATTCCACATCTCCAGAATCTTTCAAAGTGAGGGTTTTAATGTTTTGGATATGTTTTAGTAATTTTCTCTTATATGAGAACTTTTCAGGCATCTAAAATAAACCATGTCAGTTTAGTAGAATAAATGGTGACAATTTTGCATCTTGATTTACATCTTTGTTTTATATATCTGAAAATAATCATATGTTTTGTCATCTGGTTTGTTTCTAGTATTAGATGAATATACTGTATAAATATATGATTGTGTGTGATACACACACCAGACACTTTATGATTATAGTTCTGCATTTTAACACGTAAGAAATTTTATTTTTGCTACAGTTTTTATTTTGCCCTTGCATTTTAGCGACACTGCCACCAGGTGTCATTTCCAGTGAACTGAAGGTGATGCTTATTTGCTGTAATTCACCTTCAGCTCTGGAGCCTTAACTTCTGATGTCAGGTGGTTTTTGATAAGAATATATATACATGTGAAGCTGTGTCTCTCACAGCTGATCTGTAACTGGCTGCGCTCTGCCTCGCTCTCTCAAGCCTGAGGCAGCGCAGTAGCTGGCAGCTCAGTTACGCCTGCTCCCGCAGGACGGGACGGAAACCACCAAGCACACAGCCTGGGTCCTTCCGCCTCTGTCCACGCGCCTCCAGCAGCCATGGCCGCTCTCCCCAGGGGCGTCCTTCTTAGCTTCACCAGCGTTCAGAGCAGCTCTTACAGTTAATTTTTAATTAGCATGGAGTATATGATGCCCGCTTTACATTTTTCTTTCTCTCTGATACATACTACTACTTCTTTTTCCAGTTGGAAGTCTTTTTTTCTTCTTCTGCTAAAAGTTTTTTTTCTTTTTGTAAATGGAACATTTATTCATTTCCTCAATCTCTGCCTTATAAAACCACAGTTAAGTCACAATGGACTGTAACCTATCATTTTCCCAAAATTGAACTATAATTATTATTATTTTAAATTATTTGAGGGGAGCATTTCACTCAGAAGAGTAGATTATTTTTTCCCTTAAAATTGAAAGTATCTTGACCTACGTTTAATATACATTAATTAACTATAGATTTCATGAGATTTTCCTAAGCTACAATTAAGCGACTGACTTAAGAAACTTATTTTTAAAAATGTAAAATAATTACTCCTTTTTAAACAGAAATAAATTTCCAGCAACCAAAAAAAAAAATCAAATCTGTAACCAAATGGTTACATTATGAAGATGCACTAGGGATTTTAACCATGAATATGAAGAGATGTGCATGTACTGTCTTTGGGTATACTTCCTGAGCTTATTTCTTTAGTGATTTTAGTTTTACTTTTAAGTTCTCATTTTGTTTCAAGAGCCCATTTCAGCTTCCTAGTAATGAGATCCATACCTACTGGCTATTTTTTTTCCTTTGGTGGGAGAGGGTGAAGAATTAAGATTATAAATGATACTTTTTTGTTGAAGTATAATTTATGTACAGGATGGGTATTTTAAGTTTTCACTTTGTTGTGTTTTAATTTTTATTTACAACAGTATATCCACTGCCTAAAACATGATGTAGACTACTCCCATCACCTCTGTCATCCACTCTCAGTTTCTGATTTCTGTCATCCTAGGTTAGTTTTGACTATTCATAGGCAAAATTCATATAAGTGGAATCCTGAAGTATTTATTATTTTGTTTCTTTCATGTAACAGACATTATTTTTGGAGATTTCTCTGTAGCGTGTCTCAGAAATCACTCCATTTTATTGCTTCACAGTCCTTAGTTGAATGGAAATACCATAATTGATCTGTATTTACCTGTCATTGGATGTTTGGGTTGCTTCTAGTTTAGGACTGTTAGCAGTAAGACTACTGGGAACATTTTATATCAATTTCTGTACACATAAGTTTTTGTTTTTCTGGGGTCACTACTTATAATTGCCAGATCATAGGGTGTCGTGTGTCTTCTTTCTTAAGAAAATACCAGTTTCCCAAGGTTCTGTCATTTTGTCACAAGGTTATGAGAGCTCCAATTGCATGACATCCTCGCCATTTCATGTGAGTTTAGCCATTCTAATGGGTATGTAGTGGTTTTCATTTGACTTCTTCCTGATTGAGAATGTTGGCCTGGCCGGCTTTTCATGTGCTCAGTAGCCATTCACGTATCTTCTTTGGTGACCATCTTGCTAGTCTTTTACCCATTTGTTATCAGGATGTTTGATTATTGGGCTGTGGAAGTTTTTAATATAGTGGACGTCAGTCCTCTGTGACCTGTGTGCCAGTATTTATCCCCAGACTCTGGCCTGTCTACTTCTTTTCTTAGTAGCCGGTTTTAATAAACAAAAACTTAATTTTTGTATGAATAGTATTTTTTTTAATTCTAAGAAATCTTTACCTCCCTCAAGTTTGTGAAGATACTCTCCTTTAAAAGTTTTAACTTGAAATGTATGTAGTTGATTTACAGTATTGTATTAGTTTCAGATGTAAAGCACAATGATTCAATTATATATAAATACACACACGGATTCTTTTCCCTTATAGGTTATTACAAAGCTGAGCATAGTATACCATGTGCTATTCAGTAGGTCCTTGTTGGTTATCTATTTTATATTTAGTGGTGTGTATCTTTTATTCCTAATTTAGCCCTCCCATATCCCCTTTCCCTTTGGTAACCATAAATTTGTTTTCTATGTCTGTGGGTCTGTTTCTGTTTTGAAAATAAATTCATTTGTATCTTTTTTAGATTTCACTTATGAGTAATCTATTTGAAATAATTTCACTCAGTATGATCAGATCTAGGTCCATCCATGTTGCTGCAAATGGCATTATTTCATTCTTTTATATCACTGAGTAATATTTCACTGTATGTGTGTGAAACACCACCACCACATCTTCTTTATCTAGTCAACTGTTGATGGACACTCAGGTTCCTTCCATGTCTTGGCTATTATAAATAGGTCTGCAGTGAACATTGGGGTGCATTTATCTTTTTCAATTAGTTTTTTTCTGGATATTTGCCTAGGAATGGGATTGAAGTATGATATGGTAACTCTGTTTTTAGTTTCTTAAGGAACCTCCATACTCTCCCCATAGTGGCTGCACCAGGTTACAGCCCCACTAACTCTGGAGGCGGATTCTCTTTTCTCCTCTCCGGTATTTATCATGTATAGACTTTTCTGTGATGGCCATTGTGAGCAGCGGGAGGTGGTACTTCATCATAGTTTTGATTTGCATTTCTCTAATAATTAAAGTGACATTGAACATCTTTTCATGTGCTTGTTGGTCTTTTGTTAGGGAATCTTTGCATCCTTACTTTATGTGTGTCTGTGTATATTTTATCAATAACTGGGGACGTGTTCATCTTTCATGATGATATTGGATTTGTCTTAATCTTCTTTCAGTTTTCTGGTTTTTGAAGCTCTCTTTAATAGGTGTACCCATTTAGTATTGTTAGAACATGGTGATAAATTCAGTCTTTCATCACCATGAAATGTTCCTTTCTGTCTTTAATATTTTCTTGTGTTTACTTTGATATTATTCAAGCTATACCAGTTTTCTAATTCTTAATACTTTCATAGTATTTTTTAAAATCCTTTTTAGTATAAACCTGTTCATACTTTTGTATGTAAAATATGATTTTTAAATACAGAATGTAGTTGAGTTATGCTTTTTAATCCAGTTGAATAGTATCTTTCTTTCACAATGAATTATTTGGTCCCTAGTTACTCAGAGGATTGGGTTTTAGACTTTTGCCATGTGTGTTTCTCTATCTGTTGTTTGTTTCCCACTACTTCTTTCTTGCCTTCTTTGGAGTTGAGTACTTTTGGTGTTTTATTTCATCTTTTCTTCCTGACTTTATAGCTATTCCTCTTTGTGTAATTGTTAGGGTTGCTCTTATTATATGCCTCTAACTTACCAGTTGACCTTAACAAAGTGTTACATAACTTTATAAGCTGTGTGATAACCATGTGCTTTTATCTAATGCCTTCCATCTTTTGTCATCATGTATCACTCATTCGTGCATTACATACCTCACAACACAACTGCCTAACTAGAAACGACATTTAGAAGAGATTTTAAGACGCATGAAAGATAAAGATAGTAACAAGTTCTTTTCAGGAGTTCCTTGACAGTCCAGTGGTTAGGACTTTGAGCTTTCGCTGGCATGGCCCCAAATTCAATCCCTTGTCAGGGAACTGTAAGATTCTACAAGACACGCATTGTGGGCCAGGACCCCTCCCCTCCCCCTGCCACCCATGCCCCGACACCACACACACACACACACACACACACACACACACACACACACACACACACACACACACACACACACACACACACACACACACACACACACACACACACACACACACACGTTCTTTTCACGCATTGTGGGCCAGGACCCCTCCCCTCCCCCTGCCACCCATGCCCCGACACCACACACACACACACACACACACACACACACACACACACACACACACACACACACACACACACACACACACACGTTCTTTTTACCCATAGAGTTCTTCATTTCTTGTTGTTCTTAAGTTCCATCTGGTATTACGTTCCTTCAGCCTGAAGAACTTCCTTTAACTTTTTAATTTTGTAGTCAGTAACTTCTGCTGATGAATTCTTTTCCACAGTTGTTTATCTGAAAATACCTTTATTCACCTTTATTGTTGAAAAGATTTTTCATGGATATGGAAATTTCAGTGGATATAGAATTGTAGGTTTACATTTCAGCTGAAGAAAATGATGTTATGACATTGTTTTCTATATTACATTGTTTCTGAGAAGTCATTGATTTTCCTAAGTAGTGTTTCTTTTTCTTTTTTTATTCCCTCCCTCACCCCAACCCCCCCAACTCTTTTTGTACTACTTCTTCTGCAGGGCAAGGACTATTATTATTCATTTTAAGCAGTGTTTTCTTTATAAAATATTTCTCTCTCTTCCCCCTGGCCAACTTTGATGCCTTTTTTTTTTTTAATAAGTTTGATTTTTCAGCAGTTTGACTGTTAGGTTCTTGTGCATAGTTTTCTCTGTATTTATTTTCCGTGGAGTGTGCTGAATTTGTTAGATCTGTGGGGTTGATATTTTTCATCAAAATCCTCAGACATTATCCTTTCAAATATTTTTTCTGCTTCAGCTTCCTCCTCTTCTGGTAATTATCTACTTAAATATATGTTATGGTGCATAATACCATCTTAGAGGTCTCTAGTTTATTCATCTTGTTTTCTTTTTGTATGTTAGTTTGAATCATTTCTTTGTCTCTAGTTCAGTCATTGTTTTCCTTTGTTGAGCCCAGTCTGCTGTTAAGATCATTAAGTGGATTCTTCATTTATGATACTGCATTTTTTAGTTGTAGTGTTTTCACATTTTAATTTATCTTTAAAAATTAGTTTTAATTACCCACCTTCCCCAGTCTATTCACACCTGTTGTCTAGCTTCTGAACTAAATTTTTTAAAAATTATAGTTATTTTAAAAATACTTATCTGCCACTTTCAAAATTTGGGTTATTTTATATATGTGGATTTTCTACAAATTTTTTTTCCCACTTAATATGGACCCGCTTTTTGGTTTGTTTCTTGTGTCTGTAATTTTTTAAATGTATGCTGAACTTCCTGCATTTAAGAACAGTCGAGGTAGAAGTAAGTCTTACTTTTCTATGGACTGAGACATGGCTCCTTCTCTGTCAGTCTGCTGGTGTGATGAGACTTAGTTGGTTTCGTTGTGCAGTGCAGCTAAGTCTGGGCTCTGTATTGTTTGTTTGCTTGACTTAGATTCTGTTCCCCACTGTCTTTATAGGTTTTAAGCAGTGTTTGGAGACTGGGGAGATCTTTTATATGTTATGCCTAGCCAGCATCCCACTTCTAATGTTCTGGGCCTAAGGGTGATCTGTGTTCACACTGCTACCCTGGCTCCAGCTTTGCAACCCTGGGGTCCTCCCTGGGGGGTCCTCACTGGGCCGTCTGCCTGTCCCACCCTTAGGCCCAGCCACTCGTAGCTGTCCACAGTTGGTTTGGAGTTGGGCTGGATTCTCCCTCCTCACATCCGTGGCTTTCGTTCCTTCTCCCACTGTAGTCTCTTTCCTAGGAAAGGCTTTTCACTTTGCAGTTTAGTTAGCTCTGGTTTCTTTAATCCTCTGCACTCTGATAGGTTTCTTTTTTGATTAATTCGGTTGCCCCAGGTCTCAGTGGCAGCACGTGGGGGTCTTTGCTGCCTCGTGGGGGATCTTCCGTAGCCTCACGTGAGCTCCTGGACGTGAGGACAGCAGTTGTGGTGCGTGGGCTCAGCTGCTCTGTGGCATGTGGGGGTTACTGCCCTGACCAGGCCGGGAATCCGCGTTTCCTGAACCACAAGGCGGGTTCTTAACCACTAGACCACCAGGTCCCTGATAGATAGGCAGTGATTTTGTGGTTTGCCTACCTGGCTTGTTCTTGATTTTGTAGTAAGAGTAATGGTCTCTTACAAATTGCTACATTGTACCTAGAAGCAAAATACACTAATATTATACTGAATAAATTCAGTGTTCATAGGGATTTTAAAGATTACCTGTTAAAATGAGTTTCCCGAAAATGTCAGCACATGTTAAAGGCAGTTTATTAAATGTATTTTCTAAAGTGAAGCATAAATAATTGGCTTTCAATTTTTTTTTTATCTGAATATAAGTAAGGTACGGTGTTAAACCCATGGTTCTTTATTAGGAGTGATGGCTAAAGCTTTAATGAGCCACTGTTACCTAGGAAGTGCACCTGAGTTCACAGGTGTTTTGGGCAGAAAAGAGGTTCGTGGCCACTGGTTGGTATACTTCCTTTGTCAAGGACCACAGAGTAAAGATTTTGTTGCATATTCTTACTTGGTTCTGTTTGTTTTTACCATCTTTTTAAAACTGTATAACCATTCATTGTAGGGGCTGTTTATATAAAATAGGCTCTAAAACAGGGCATAGTTGCTGATTCCTCCACTAGATGATCTTTATAGTCATTTCTGCTCGGAGTAATTTTGAATTTCTCTTAATTGCAGCACTTTCAGAATAGTATATGTGAAAAGCTAGAAGAGCAAACCATAAAACACTCCTTTTAACAGAGGTCTCAGCATTATCCTATAAGTAAGCTTATTTGATGTTATGTTATGTAGGCTTTTACATATTCCACCAAATTTAGAGACCCCCCCTTTTCTGTCTTTTTTCTCTGTAGGAGTACAAACCACCAGGAACGCGTAAACTCCATAATATTCTCGGAGTAGAAACAGGAGGGCCTGGTGGGCGCCGTGCTGGGGAATCGGGTCATACAGTAGCTGACTACTTGAAGTTCAAAGACCTCATTTTAAGGATGCTTGATTATGACCCCAAATCTCGAATTCAACCTTACTATGCCCTGCAGCACAGTTTTTTCAAGAAAACAGCTGATGAAGGTACAAACACAAGTAATAGTGTATCCACGAGTCCTGCTATGGAGCAGTCACAGTCTTCGGGCACCACCTCCAGTACGTCGTCAAGCTCAGGTCTGTTTTTCTGATACTATCTAGGCTTTTAAACGTGTGCTCTTTTCTTTACAAAGTGGGGGTCATTTCATGTATTTTTAAAGTTTGTTAATGGGTAAGGAGGAATCCATCAGAGGGCAAACAGAAGAAGCAAGAACTACAATTCCACAGCCTCCAGAACAAAAACCCACAATCAGAAAAAACTAATCAAAATGATCACCTGAATCACACTCTTGTGTAACTCAGGAAGCTGTGAGCCCTGCTGTGGAGGGCCCCCAGGTTGGACGGGTCACGGGGGAGACTTCTGACAAAATGTGGTCCACCGGAGAAAGGAACGACAAACCACGCCAGTATTCTTGCCTCGAGAACCCCATAAACAGTATGAAAAGGAGGAGATACGTTGACACTGAGACATGAGGGGCGCCCCCCCGCCCCCCCCAAGTCAGTAGGCGTCCAGTGTGCTGCTCTGGTGACGAGAGGAAAGATAACTCCAGAAAGAATGAAGGGGCTGGGCCACAGCAGAAACCTCACCCTGTTGCGGGTGTGTTTGGTGATGGAAGTAAAGTCTGATGCTGTAAAGAGCAGCATTGCATAGAACCTGGAATGTTAGGACCATGAATCAGAGTAAATTGGATGTGGTCAAGTAGGAGGTAGCAAGAGTGAATATCGGCTTAATAGGAATCAGTGAACTAAAATGGACCAGAATGAGAGAATTTAATTCAGATGACCGTTGTATTTACTACTGTGGGCAAGAATCTCTTAGAAGAAATGGAATAGCCCTCATAGTCAACAAAAGAGCCCCAAATGCAGTACTGGGATGCAGTCTCAAAAATGACAGAATGATCTCTGTTTCCAAGGCAAACCATTCAGTATCACAGTAATCCAAATCTGTGCCTCAAACCCCTAATGCCAAAGAAGCTGAAGTTGAACAGTTCTCTGAAGACCTACAAGACCTTCTAGAACTAACACCTAAAAAAGATGTCCTTTTCATCATGGGATTGGAATCAAAAGTAGAAAATCAAGAGATATCTGGAATAACAGGCAAGTTTGACTTAGGAATACAAAATGAAGCATGGCAAAGGCCAACAGTTTTGCCAAAAGAACACGCTGGTCATAGCAAACATGTTTTTCCAACAACACAAGAGACAACTCTACACATGGACATTACCAGATGGTCAGTACCAAAATCAGGTTGATTATATTCTTTGCAGCCAAAGATGGAGAAGCTGTCCATAGTCAGCAAAAACAAGACCTAGAGCTGACCGTGGCTCAGATCATCAACTCCTTATTGCAAAATTTAGGCTTAAATTGAAGAAAGTAGGGAAAACCACTGGACCATTCAGGTATGATCTAAATCAAGTTCCTTATGATTATACAGTGGAGGTGATAAATAGATTCAAAGGATTACATCTGATAGACAGGGTGCCTGAAGAACTCTGGGCCGAATTCTTAACAAAGTTATAAACCTTATGAGGTTTGTAACATTGTGCAGGAGGTAGTGATCAAAACCATCTCCAAGAAAAAGAAATGCAAGAATGCAAAGAGGTTGTCTGAGGAGGCCTTACAAATAAGTGAGATGAGAACTGAAAGGCAAAGGAGAAAGGGAGAGAGATACCCAACTAAAGGCAGAATTTCAGGGAATAGCAAGGAGAGATAAAAAAGCCTTCTTAAATGACCAGTGCAAAGAAATAGAGGAAAATGATAGAATGGGAAAGACTAGAGATGTCTTCAAGAAAATTGGAGATATTAAGGGAACATTTCATGCAAGGATAGGCATGATAGAGGACAGGAACAGTGAGAACATAACAGAAGCAGAAGAGATTGATGAGATGTGGCAAGAATACATAGAGAAACTACAAAAAAAGTCTTAGTGACCCAGAGGACCATGATGGTGTGACCACTCAACTAGAGCCAGACCTCCTGGAATGCGAAGTCAGGTGGACCTTGGGAAGCATCACTACAATTAAAGTTAGTGAAAGTGATGGAGTTCCAGTAGAGCTATTTCAAATCCTAAAAGATGATGCTGTGAAAGTGCTGCACTCAATATGCCAGCAAATTCGGAAACTCAACAGTGGCCACAGGACTGGAAAAGGTCAGTTTTCATTCTAATCCCAAAGAAAGGCAGTGCCAAAGAATGTTCAAACTACTGAACAATTGCACTTATTTCACATTCTAGCAAGGTAATGCTCAAAATCCAAGCTAGACTTCCAACAGTATGTGAACCAAGAACTTCCAGATGTACAAGCTAGATTTAGAAAAGGCAGAGGAACCAGAGATCAAATTGCTAACATCTGTTGACTCATAGAAAAAGCAAGGGAGTTCCAGAAGAACATCCACTTGTGCTTCATTGACTGCACTAAAACCTTTGACTGTGTGGATCACAAAAAACTATGGAAAATTCTTCAAAAGATAGGACTACCAGACCACCTTAACCTGCCTCCTGAGAAACCTGTATGCACATCAGGAAGAAACAGTTAAAACCGTTCATGAGCAACTGACTGGTTCCAAATCAAGAAAGGAGTATGTCACCCTGCTTATTTAACTTATATGCAGAGTACATCATGAGAAACACTGGGCTGGAAGAAGCATAAGCTGGAATCAGGATTGCCGGGAGAAATATCAATAACCTCAGGTATACAGATGACACCACCCTTATGGCAAAAAGTGAAGAGGAGCTAAAGAGCTTCTTGATGAAGGTGAAAGAGGAGAGTGTAAAAGTTGGCTGAAAACTCAACATTCAAAAAATGAAGATCATGGCATCTGGTCCCATCATTTCATGGCAAATAGGTGGGGAAAAAATGGAAACAGTGACATCCTTTATTTTCCTGGGCTCCAAAATCATTTCAGACAGTTGACTTGAAGGTATGAAATTAAAAGGCACTTGCTCCTTGGAAGAAAAACTGTGACCAACCTAGACATCATATTAAAAAGCAGAAACATTACTTTGCTGACAAAGGTCCATGTAGTCAAAGCTGTGGTTTTTCCAGTAGTCATGTACAGATACGAGAGTTGGACTATAAAGAAGACTGAGTGCTGAAGAATTGATTCTTTCAGACTGTGGTGCTGGAGAAGATTCTTGAGAGTCCCTTGGACTGCAAGGAGATCAAACCCATTAATCCTAAAGGAAATCAACTGTGAATATCCATTGTAAGGACTGATGCTGAAGCTCCAATACTTTAGCCACCTGATGCGAAGAGCCGACTGATTGAAATGACGCTGATTCTGGGAAAGATTGAGAGAATGAGGAGAAGGGGGCAAAAGAGGATGAGATGGTTGGATGGCATCACCGATTTATTAGACACGAGTTTGAGCAAACTCCTTGAGATAGTGAAGGACGGGGAAGCCTTGCATGCTGCGCTCCATGGGGAAGCAAAGAGTTGGACACAACTTAGCAACTGAGCAACAACAAGAGAGGAATTATTTTTCCTAAGTCTATTCTTTGGGCCTGTAGAAAAATCCACAAGTTCTAAGACTTAACTGTGCATACAATAAATTCTACTTGGGAAAAAACTAGTAGCCAAATATTTAAATTGTTTTTAAGGTGGAAACAGAGTTGGAAAACCCAACTTAACTGAACTTGGTCGTATTTGAGTTCAATGATTGATGTGAAAGAAAAGAATTGGGTGCTTTTCTGATGCCCTTTCAGGTTAATAGAGGGTGCTTCAGTTTTTATGTTACAGTTTTAGGATATATCTACTTGAACACAACTAACTTCACACTCACAAGTAGTGTCGTGTTGTGATGCTCCAGGTGGATCATCGGGGACGAGCAACAGTGGGAGAGCCAGGTCGGACCCGACGCACCAGCACCGGCACAGCGGCGGGCACTTCACGGCCGCTGTCCAGGCCATGGACTGTGAGACCCACAGTCCGCAGGTGAGCCCAGCCGCCCTCAGCGCGCCCTCCGCCGTGCCCGAGGGCAGTGTGGGTGCCCCGTGTCTTTTGGGTGATGGTCGCTTCCTCCAAAGGGTCAGAGCTTCCTCTCCTGTAAGGGGCTCCAACTTACATGACTGACATAAAGCAGCACAACCTCGCAGTCATTTCCCTCCTTATTTAGAAATAGCTAAGATTTACTGAGCGCACATGAGCCGTTGCTCCACTTTTCCCCTGTGTTTATCTCATTTACTCTGTAGCGTTTTCAGCCTTACCCTGTTTGGATTTCCGTTTTACAGTGGGAACTGTGACTTCCTGGGTTCAGGTCTTTCTGCAGCTCATCATCTTAATTACTGCTTCTCCCTCCTCTCGTTATCTGTCACCACCAATGGTCCTAGGTTCTGGATCAGTTTGTGCTTTGATTTTTCAGCTCCATGTTTTGTTTTGTGCTTTGAAGTTTTTTCTTTTTTGTTTTTTTGGTTTTTCAACTGATTAAACAGGATCTAATGAAGTAAAATTTTTTAAGGGGGTGAAGCAGATGGTAGTAATAAAAATATTTACTAATATTTAAATACTCTGTAAAAGAGTAAGTTAATTCACCCTGAGTACTGCGTAATGATGTTTATAATGAGAGGCAAGTCTGTTGTTTAATGAGAAACACAGTAGACGCTGACAAACGTCACCCCATTGCTGGCCTGAGGCTGCCTCGGGCTGGTGGAGAGGTGCGTGTCGGGATATGGTCACCGCTGATTCCTGGTCCCCAGCCTGCTGGGCAGGCTCTCCTGCTTCTCACATCATCTCTTCCCGCTCCCGCTCTCTCCAGTACTTGTTTCAGCCTCTTCTCCGCTTCTTAGAAGCCTCTCCTCTGTTTTCCCCGACTCCTCCCTGGGTGGGGAGCACTCTTCAGAAAGGAAGCCTCACGGCCTGTCCCCAGACACCTCTCCCGGCTCCTCCGGCGCTCGTCCGCTGTCTGCCGCCCGCGCTCTGCTGCTCGCCGCCGCCCCGGGACCTCTGCTCGCCGCCATCCCGCCGCGCCCGGCCCTCCGCAGGCGTCTTTGGACCTCAGCAGGCCTTCCCTGGCAGTGTGTTCCCCGCCCCACGTTCTGCTCTCCATGAGCTCTGTTTCCTCGCCCTTTGAGAACCCTTCTGCTGCTCCAGGCAGCCTGCTCCTAGCGTGAGCACCTGTCCTGTCGTGGCACCGGCGTCAGTTCTGAGCAGCCGGGCGGGCTCTCGGTCACTTTTCCGTCCAGTCCTCACTCGCAGTGACACGGCTCTGGTTTCCACCTGCCGTGGGCACACGCACAGTGAGGCCCTTCGCCCGGCCTGCCCCCTTCCGTCGTCACCTCCTTTCTGGATTCTCTTCTCCCCCTGCTGGTAAAAGTGGACGTTCCGTGCCCTCTCTCCCACCTGACAGCCCTCGGGTGACCTCATGTGTGCCTACCAGTGCCCACAGCTTCCGTCTTGCTGTCAGTCACTCCACGTCCTGATTCTGACCTGGGCCTCACTCCTGAGCCCCTGGTCACCTCCTGTCAGTGCCGCGCTGGAGGTCTCCACAGATCCCTGTCATCGTATCCTCTTCTGCCACGGCGCATCTGCTTTTATCTGTTCTTTGTACAGAATGGCCCTGAATTTACCCATTTGCTTAGGTCCTACACGTCTGGGAGTTAATCCTTAAGTCTCTCCCTCACCCCCAGACATGGAATCAAATGATAAATAGTGTGGATTCGGAATATCCTACATGTGTTTCTATTCTCTCCACTTCACTTCCCCCACTCCTTACTACAGGCATCTCTAGCTTATCTTCCTATAAAGATTATTTTTGACTGGTCTTCCAGCATCTGTTTCATCCACCAGTTCACCTCTGCTCTCTTTTGTCACCCAAGTAAATAAACGTTCAGTTAAAACAGTCTCATCCGGGTCCAGCCCCTGCTTTCAACCAGTTTTTGGCTTTCTCTTATACTTAAAAAAAATTGAGAGGGCTTCCCAGGTGGCGCGAGTAGTAAAGAACTGCCTACCAGTTCAGGAGACATAAGAGACATGGGTTTGATCCCTGGATCAGGAAGATGCCCTGGAGGAGGGCACGGCAACCCCCTCCAGTATTCTTGTCTGGAGAATCCCACGGAGAGAGGAGCCTCATGGGCTACCGTCCATGGGGTTGCAGATTCAGACGCGACTGAGCACAGTGTGGTTTTTTCAGTGGTTTCTGTGATCTGGCCCCTTCCCAGGCATTCTTCCTCTCCATTCACTCTGGTCTTCCTGGAATTTTTTTCATTTTCCGGACCTTACGTTCTCCATCACAGTTCTCACGAGGACTGTGCTCAGCCTGGAATATGCTTTTCCTCCCTCTAAGCTTTGGTGACTTCTGTATATCCTTCTGATTTTAAATATCACTACCAGAGGCTTTCCCTAATCTTTAGAGTGACCTTCTTTCCTCTCTTTATTCTTCCAATTATATTAATACTGCAAATACATAAACTGTACCAGGATAACATAAGACATTTGTGTTCATCCTGCCCATATTTAAAGAAGTCAATCAATATTGTGCTTATTTGCTTCAAACCATTTTTATTTAATTTTTAAATAGTTGATAACATTCACATGGTTTAAAAATTGGTTAACATAAACAGGGATTCAATGAGAAGTCTCCCCTTCTGTGTCCTCTAGCCACCTAATTGCTATATTAATGTTATTAATTTTATGTAGCCTTTCTGAGATATTTTATACATCCACAAGCAAATACAAATGCATACTCTTCACCCAACCTTTGTGCACAGCGGTAGGTAGCACACCATGCACACTGCTTCCCGTCTTTCTATTGTAACGTGTTGCGATATGTGTTCTTAATAGATGATGTTATGGAGCTCATGCTGTGTCATAGAGAACTTGTTCATTCTGTTTGTTTTGTTTTAAATAGCCACACAGTATTCTTTTGTTAGATATTCCACAAGTCATTGCAGTAGTTCCCTGTTAGTGGACATTTAGTTTACTTTCAATCTTCTTTACTACTCAAAATAATGCTATAATGAGTAACCCCATATATAAATAATCCACACACACACACAGTTAGTGCGTCTGTGATATAAATTCTTGGATGTGGAATTGCTGGGTCAGAGAGTAATGTGGCTTGTCACTTTCATGACTGTTGCCAAATGGCTCTCCATGTAATTTTACCAATTTAGCTTGCCAGTTAACTGAGTTTTAAGAAACTGGAATCACCTTTGGGTACAGTCTGAAATGAAAGACACAGCATCAGACAGAGTATAGCTACATTTTGTTTATTTCTTCTCCTGCGTGGATTTTAGTAGTGTCACAGTTTAAGAACCATTAGTATTCTCTGAGATTTTTCTGCCTGTTTTTCTTCTGGTTTATTTTCAATAGTATTTCTTGGGACCACTTTCATTAAGTAAATACTGAATGATCTGTGCTGCTGCTGCTAAGTCACTTCAGTCGTGTCCGACTGTGCGACCCCATAGACGGCAGCCCACCAGGCTCCCCTGTCCCTGGGATTCTCCAGGCAAGAACACTGGAGTGGGTTGCCATTTCCTTCTCCAATGCTTGAAAGTGAAAAGGGAAAGTGAAGTGGCTCCGTTGTGTCTGACTCTTAGCAAACCCATGGACTGCAGCCCACCAGGCTCCTCCACCCATGGGATTTTCCAGGCAAGAATACTGGAGTGGGGTGCCATTGCCTTCTCCAATGATCTGTGCTAGCCACTGGTGATTAAGAAACAGGCTTTGCCTTCCTAGAGCTTACAGTGACTCAGCATATAAATGAATCAAGTGAATATAAATTGCAACTTCTAGAAAATAAGACAGTATAATAGAGAATAGCTGTTTGTTGGGTGGGGTGTATGTACTAAGCAGGCCCAACTGATAACAGATAGAGCCCCCAAAATATGGTAGCTTGAAGAATGTGAAGTTTCTCTTTTATGTAATGTCCAGAGTGGGCATGCCGGTTAGCAGCACGGCTCTCCCATGTCCTGGGTTCCTGACATCTTGTGACTGCCCCATCCCCAGGGCCTAGTTGTCTGCTGCATCCCGCAGAAGGACTTGGGAAGTATTTTGTGGACCAGATCTGGTTGTACTATAGGAACTTCCCATTGACCAAAACAGTCGCATGGCTGTGTCTTAGTACAGCGGAGACTGGAAGTGAGTGTAGTTGGAGCCACGTGCCCAGGAGGAAGAAGAAGTTTTTTGAGGACAACTGGGAGTCTCTGGCCCAGAAGTTAGGGCAGCATCAGCCAGAGTGGTGAGGGAAGACTCTGGAACTGAAACAATGAGAAAGAAGCATCCAAGCAGAAATTAGAAATCAGAGCATTCTAGGCAGAAGGGAACAGTATATGCAGACACTCTGAGGCATGTGACAGATGCTGACCAGATCGAGGAACAGAAGGAATGTGCTGTGTGGTAGGAGCGCAGGCAGCAGGAGGAAGGCAGACTAGAGGAGAAGGCTGGAGAAACGAGCACTGACCAGACTGTGCAGGTTGTGTAACCGTTCATCCATCAGTGGGTGCTTGGGCTGTTTTCTTATTTTGGCTGTTATAATAATACTACAGTGAACATTGGGGAGGGGGGGCACATATATCTTTCCAAGATAGTGTTTTTGTTTTCTTCACATAAATACCCAGAAGCGGAATTGGATCATGTGGTTCAGTTCAGTTCAGTTGCTCAGTCGTGTCTGATTCTTTGCGACCCCATGGACTGCAGCACAACAGGCTTCCCAGTCCATCACCAACTCCTAGAGTTTACTCAAATTCATGTCCATTGAGTCAGTGATGCCATCCAACCATCTCATCCTCTGCCGTCCCCTTCTCCTTCTGCCTTCAATCTTTCCCAGCATCAGGGTCTTTTCTAATGAGAAAAAGTTCTTTGCTTCAGGTGGCCAAGGTATTGGAGCTTCAGCTTCAACATCAGTCCTTCCAATAAACACTCAGGACTGACCTTCTTTAGGATGGATTGGTTGGATCTCCTTGCAGTCCAAGGGACTCTCGAGAGTCTTCTCTAACACCACAGTTCAAAAGCATCAATTCTTTGGCACTCAGTTTTTTGTAGTCCAACTCTCACATCCATTCATGACCACTGGAAAAACCATAGACTTGACTAGACAGACCTTTGTTGGCAATGTAATGTCTCTGCTTTTTAATATGCTGTCTTGGCTGGTCATAACTTTTCTTCCAAGGAGTAAGCATCTTTTAATTTCATGGCTGCAGTCACCATCTGCAGTGATTTTGGAGCCCCAAACAATGAAGTCTGTCACTGTTTCCACTGTTTCCCATCTATTTGCCATGAAGTGATGGGACTTGATACCATGATCTTAGTTTTCTGAATGTTGAGCTTTTAAGCCAACTTTTTCATTCTCCTGTTTCACTTTCATCAAGAGGCTTTTTAGTTCTTCTTCACTTTCTGCCATGAGGGTGGTGTCATCTGCATATCTGAGGTTATTGATATTTCTCCTAGCAATCTTGATTCCAGCTTGTGCTTCATCCAGCCCAGCATTTCTCATGATGTTCTCTGCATATGAGTTAAATAAGCAGGGTGACAATATACAGCCTTGATGTACTCCTTTTCCTATTTGGAACCAGTCTGTTGTTCCATGCCCAGTTCTAACTGTTGCTTCCTGACCTGCATACAGGTTTCTCAAGAGGCAGGTCAGGTGGTCTGGTATGCCCATCTCTTTCAGAATTTTCCACAGTTTATTGTGATCCACACAGTCAAAGGCTTTGGCATAGTCAGTCAAAGCAGAAATAGATGTTTTTCCAAACTATTGCTTTTTCCATAACCCAACAGATGTTGGTAGTTTGATCTCTGGTTCCTCTGCCTATTCTAAAACCAGCTTGAACATCTGGAAATTCATGGTTCATGTACTGTTGAAGTCTGGCTTGGAGAATTTTGAGCATTACTAGCTTGTGAGATGAGTACAGTTGTGCAGTAGTTTGAGCATTGTTTGGCACTGCCTTTCTTTGGGATTGGAATGAAAACTGACCATTTCCAGTCCTGTGGCCACTGCTGAGTTTTCCAAATTTGCTGGCATATTGAGTGCAGCACTTTCACAGCATCATTTTTTAGAATTTGAAATAGCTCAAGTGGAATTCCATCACCTCCACTAGTTTTGTCCGTGGTGATGCTTCCTAAGGCCCACTTGACTTCACATTCCAGGATGTCTGGCTCTAGGTGAGTCTCCATCATGATTATCTAGGTCGTGAAGATCTTTTTTGTATAGTTCTTCTGTGTATTCTTGCCACCTCTTCTTAATATCTTCTGCTTCTGTTAGGTCCATACCATTTCTGTCCTTCATTGAGCCCATCTTTGCATGAAATGTTCCCTTGGTATCTCTAGTTTTCTTGAGGAGATCTCTAGTCTTTCACATTATATTGTTTTCCTCTGTATCTTTCCACTGATCACTGAGGAAGCCTTTCTATTTCTCCTTGCTGTTCTTTGGAACTCTGCATTCAACAAATGGGTATATCTTTCCTTTTCTCCTTTGCTTTTCGCTTCTCTTCTTTTCACAGCTATTTGTAAGACAGCCATTTTGGTTTTTTGCATTTCTTTTTCTTGGAGATGGTCTTGATCCCTGTCTCCTGTACAGTGTCACTCACCTCCGTCCATAGTTCATCAGGCACTCTATCAGATCTAAGCCCATATATCTATTTCTTTTTTTTTTTTTTCATTTATTTTTATTAGTTGGAGGCTAATTACTTTACATCATTGTAGTGGTTTTTGTCATACATTGAAATGAATTAGCCATGGATTTACATATATTCCCCATCCCGGTCCCCCCTCCCACCTCCCTCCCATATATCTATTTCTCACTTCCACTGTGTAATCTTAAGATCATGTGGTAGTTCTGTTTTTAATTTTTTTAAGAACCTCCTCCATACTATTTTCCATATAATGGTTATACTAATGTATATTCCCATCATCAGTGTGTGAGGGTTTCCTTTTTTCTACATTCTCACCAGCAGTTGTCATTCATTGTCTTTTTGAGAGTGATGTCTCATTGTGGTTTGGGTTTGCATTTCTCTAGTGACCAACGATGTTGAGTTGCTTTTCTTGTGCACGATGGCCATCTTTGTGTCTTCTTTGGAAACGTGTAGTCAGATCTCCTGCCCATTTTTAAGTCAGATTATTTGGGTTTTTGCTATTGAGTTTTATCAGTTCTTTTTATGTTTGGAATATTAGCCTCTTAATCAGATACATGATTGACAAATGTTTTCTCCCATTCAGTAGGTTGCCTTTTTGTTTTGTTGATGGTTTCCTCTATTATACAGTAGCTTTTTAGTATAATGTAGTCTCATTTGTCTATTTTTGCTTTTATAAAGCTTTTGCTTTGGTGTCAGATTCAAAAAATCATCGCCAGGACTTGTGTCAGACCATCTGTGTTTCCTTCTAGGAGTTCTGTGGCTTCAAGTCTTTAATCCATGTTGAGTTCATTTGGGGGTTTGGTGTAAAATCGTGGTTGACTTTCATTCTTTTGTTATCTGATTGTCTAGTTTTCATGACATCATTTAAATTAAGGAACTGATTTCTCCTCTGTGCTGGGTCTTCAGTGTTGTACACAGGCTCTGTCTGTCTCCCCGAGCAGGGGCCGCTCTTCCCTGCGCTGTGTGGGCTCCCCTGTGGCAGCCTCTCAGTGCAGAGTGCGGGCTGCAGTGTTTGTGGCGCCCAGTCTTAGCTTCTCCGTGGCCTCGGGGATCTTCCTGGTCCGGGGATCAGATCTGTGTTCCGGCGTTGGCGGGTGAATTCTTAACCCCTGGACCACCAGGGAAGTCCCACGACACCCTTTACTGAAGAAAATAGCCCTTTTCCATTGTATATTTTTGGTTCTTTCTCATAAATTAACCGACTGTATACACATAGGTTTATTTCTGGGCTCTCTCTTCTGTTCCATTGACCTGTGTGCTTGTTTTTATGCCAGTACCGTCCCGTTTTTAGTTACTGTAGCTTTGTAGTTTAGTTCGGTATCAGGGAGCGTAATGCTTCCAGCTTTTTCTTTCTCAGGGTTGCTTCGACTACTTGGATATTTTTTGTCGGTTACAAATTTTAAGATTTTGTTCTATTTTTTTTTTAAACATGTCATTGGAATTTCGATAGGGATCGCATTGAGTCTGTAGATTGCTTTCAGTGGTTCGGACATTTTAACAGCTTTGACTCTTCATTAGAGTCAGTGAGCGTGGACCGTCTTCCCACTGACTTGGGCCTTCCGTTTCTCTCACTACTGTCTTGTTTTCCATATGAAGCCCTTTCACCTCCTTGGTTAAATTTATGTCTTGCTTATTTTGTTCTTTTTTATGCATTTGTAAATGGGATTGTTTTCTTTTTCTGATATTTTCTTATTAGTATATAGAAATGCAATAGTTTTTTGTGTATTGATTTTGTGTCCTGTAATTTATTATTTCCATAAGTTTTCTAATGGAGTCTTTAGGGTTTTCCATATATAATGTTGCATCATGTGTAAGTAGCAGCCATTTTATATATTTATTTATTTTCAATTTGGATGCTTTTTATTTCTCTTTCATGCTTAATTTGGATATCTGTTTTAAAAAGATTATTCTCAGGATTTGGAGAGTGGTTTGGTAAAAAGCAAGGGTGGAAGATGGGAGTTGATATAGGAGGCTGTTGTGTTAGTCTAGGCAAGAGATGGTAATGACCTCAGATAGAGTAATGAAGAAGAGATGCCAGATGTGAGTTCTTATTTTGGAGGTGGCTTTAGTAGTACTCGCTGATTGTTTGAGTGGAGGAATGGTTAGGCAGCTAAATGCATAGTAGTGGTTCAGTTAAAACAGGAAAGATGGAGAGGAGGGGCTCTAGGGTAAAGAAGATCAGTCTTTTGGACTGATCAGAAATAACCAGTTTTACTCTCTGGTCTTTTCCAGAAGTTTGCTGACCCCTGGCATAAACAGTGCTCCCAAGGAAGGAAAGTGGCCAATAAAATATATGAGCCTGTTTATGGATATAACTTGCTACAAGTTGCAGCTTTCATAAAAAATAGTTTTCACTCTTGAAACATATTTGCAAGTTTGTGTTATAGAACTGTCTAGAACATTAAAGTTTCAAAACCCTCTCTCTAATGTGAACGCTAATGTAGCTTTTAATTGAAGATTAACGCTTAGAAGCGGTCCTCTGAATAAATCTTTTTACAATCTGCTCTTGCAGGTGCGTCAGCAGTTTCCTGCTCCCCTTGGTTGGTCAGGCACTGAAGCTCCTACTCAAGTCACTGTTGAAACGCATCCGGTTCAAGAGACCGCCTTCCATGTGGCCCCTCAGCAGAACGCGCTGCATCATCACCACGGAAACAGCTCCCACCACCACCACCACCACCACCACCACCACCACCACCACGGACAGCAGGCCTTGGGCAGCCGGGCCAGGCCGAGGGTCTACAGCTCTCCAACAAACAGCTCCTCCACCCAGGATTCTATGGAGGTTGGCCACAGTCACCACTCCATGACATCCCTGTCTTCCTCAACGACTTCTTCCTCTACATCTTCCTCCTCTACTGGTAATCAAGGCAATCAGGCCTACCAGAATCGCCCAGTGGCTGCTAATACCTTGGACTTTGGACAGAATGGAGCTATGGACGTTAATTTAACCGTCTACTCCAATCCCCGCCAAGAGACTGGCATAGCTGGACATCCAACATACCAATTTTCTGCTAATACAGGTCCTGCACATTACATGACTGAAGGGCACCTGACAATGCGGCAGGGGGCTGACAGGGAAGAGTCCCCCATGACAGGAGTGTGTGTGCAGCAGAGTCCTGTAGCTAGCTCGTGACTACATTGAAACTTGAGTTTGTTTCTTGTGTGTTTTTATAGAAGTGGTGTTTTTTTCCAAAAAAAACAAAGTGCAAAGCTGCTTGAATCAGAAGGAGATTAACACACTGAACCGCTACAGGAGGGCAAAGCTGACTTTTTTTTTTTTTTAACTTGAAAAGATTGCAAAGGGACAATGAAGTTTTTAAAAGAGCCATGTCCAAACCCATCTTCTCGGATAGCTCAGAGGCGTCCTCTTTTTGCCGCCCCCATTTTAACTTGCCACATCCCGGTCACTTAGTGGGGTTTTTGTCTTTCTATTCCACAAAAGTTATTGTTCAGATGTTGGTCTTGCTCATTTGCCAACTAATTTTAAAATAAAAAGGCACTGCACATCATTTGCATACAGGGCCCCATGAGGGTGTTTTTCTCCCCCTTTTTGTTTTTCCTTTTTTCCCCCCCCGCCTCCCGTTTTTGTTTTGTTTTTGTTCTGTTTGGGGTGGGGGGTGGGAAATTGGGGTTTTTAAGTCCTCTAAACACACTTGGGCACGGAAACGCAGTACTGTAAGAAGAGGGACCTCCAGCTCACACAGTCATCACCTTCAGCTGTATGGAAGGGACGGTTGTATCGGCGTGTGGAAGGCACAGGACGCATGCTGAGTGGCGGGATCAGCGCCCTCCTGTCTGAACCTCCTGAGGAGCAAAGCAGCACTGCCCTGGGATCCTGTGGGTCTCCCGTTGCCGAGGCCACAGAGAGAGAGGGGCGGAACGTGACTGGTCTCCCATCCAAGGTGCACTGAGAAGCAATCAGCGGGTCAGTCGTGGCCAGTCCCGGGGAGGGCTGAGTGGTGGTCTTCGGGAAAACCTTTGGCCTTATGGATTTGGACTCAAACTAGAAGAGCCTACCATTTCAGATGCAATCACTTTTGGACATGCTTTTGCAGACAGTCCTTAACGCTGAAAACACAGAGAATGGGTAATTCAAGAGGCCTTTCTTTTAAAACAGACTTTGGTGACCCACTAATTGTAAGGTATTGCAAGGTCACTTTGCGTGTGTCATAAAGTTGACTTCCTTATTGGTTGAAGGTCACAGAAGTAGTGGTTTGCTTTGATGGAAATAGCTACAGCTGTGTCCCTTCCTGCTTTTTACTTTTTCTTTTGCTTTTTCTCGGCACGTGGTATCTCCACCATTTCTTCTGCACAAAGATGTCTTCTGTTCATCCTGAACATTTTTAAAAAAAAAAAAAATGCAGAATTTTATGTGACTGCTTTTTTGCCTCACAATTATGCTGTGAATTTTACAAAAATTTATTTTCTTTTTTGATAATTTATTGTACCAAAGCTGTTTTTATAGCACATAGATGTCTGTAACCAATAATGTAGCAGTTCTGCACTTTGACACAAGGTGTAACTAGACCATTTTTAAATGTCAGTTGAAAATTATGGCTGTACTATTGCTTAAACAAAACTGGAACTGTTGCTGAATCCATAGCCAATACATTTACAGCAATCTGTGTACTGAACATGATAGATTGACACCTAACTCAAGATTACAACAGCTGTTACATCCTCAATGTGTTCAGGCTTCTGAAGGTAAAGGGACACTGGATCCAGAAGCTATGGAACCAGCAGTTGATTCTTGTATTCCTGATTAACCTACTTGTAAACTTGAAAGCAAGACCTCGATTGCACCAACAGGTCCAAAACATGAGCAGAGTAGAGCAGAACTCGCACGCGTGACCTGAGATGAGCAGGCTGGTGTTTTAACAGGTGCCTAGTTTTGAGATTATGCTGCCTTAATGTAACACAGTCTGGCAGTTGCTAAATTTGTGTTCCCATTTTAAATTGACCAATTTTACGGTGTTATACTTTTGAGCGGTTGAATTGGGAGAATGAAGATAAGAAATTTACCTGTCCAGGATCAAAGAAGCCTAGAAAAGAAGCAGTAATCTACCTCTGCCGATAACCCTGTTCAAAATAACTCAGCAGAAACACCACGTTACTTTTTATTGGTCAATTCTATGTGGCTGACTAGGTCAATTTTTTTCTGAACAAAAGCAGGTTTTTATATGTAAAACAGTGACAAAAGACAAAAAGGTTTAAAACTATGTGAATATGAATGGAAACTTGGGAATATCCGTTTTTATAAAACCACAAAAATTTTTTTTTGTTGTTAATCAGGAAATCCATATTTATTTTGTAACTAAATGTCAAGCCTGTGGATGATTTTTGAACTTGGTAGTTCATGAAGGTTTACAGTGAATAAAAGGATGTCATCTTGAGTCTAGCACTATCAAAAGGAATTCAGTAGTTACTGCTGTTTAGGAATATGAGGTGAAGATGTACGTGGGTCAGGTCATTTTTTTTCTGTGCTGGTTGCCACATCTGAGCAAGCACCAAAAAAAAAAAGCAGTTTTAAACCGCTATTTGCATAAAGGCAGCCGTCAGAGCCGATGCTCCTGCATACTGTGTTATGTTGCAGTCCAGTTTTGTGCGCTTTCCTACACGGTTTGGTTACAGGGCTTCTGTGCATTGTAAACATAAACAGCATGGAAAAGGGTAAATACCTGTGTGCAGATTGTAAGATCTGGTCCGGACTTGCTGTGTATATTGTAACGTTAAATGAAAAAGAACCCCCCTTTGTATTATAGTCATGCGGTCTTATGTATGATAAACAGTTGAATAATTTGTCCTCAGACTCTTTACTATGCTTTTTTTAAGATTAATTTAAGAAAAATGTAAACATAGTTAAAAAAAAAATCTATGCAATTAAACCTGGTCCAGGTAATGGTCTGGTAGGTATACCAACTAGAAGTTTGAAGTCAAATGTGTAGAAAGGAAAATTATAGTTACATCAACCTAGGCTTCGGAATCTTGGAAAAAAAAGTAAAAATTGGTGGTTTAACAGACCATTTTGATTTTTTAAGATTGACTCTTTACTGTATTCACAGGTTCTGTCTGATTGAAAATGCTAGTAGTTTATCATGTTGCGGATGGTGTAAGAGGTGGTTTTCTTTAGGCTTTGACCTGCATGGAAACACGAGGAACTACAAATCATACCCTTCCTCTTTCCCCAGATCCTTGGTGGACGTCTGTCAGGGGCTTTCGTATACAGAATTTAAGCTTAAGATTCCTGCCACAGTGAGTTAATTCTCACCAAACATCTCTTTATAAACTAGCCTGTGTGAGTATAAAGTAAGGTAGCTTTCAGAAGGCAGAAAACTTAACTGTAAAAGTTGAATGTGATTTCATTAAGTTCATATTGACTACTTAAAGTTGCACCTACCACATGTGTGAAAGGAAAACTTCCTTTAGTGTTTTTCTTAGGGTGATGAGCATTTACTTACATAAGTGGCACATTTTATGTCAGACTCCAAAAAACCTAGGCTTGTTTTATGAATACTAGAGCTACAAAAAAAAAAAAGTACAAATGACATTCATTTAGGCTGCAGTAATCCTCTTAAGGCCAGCAAGACAACCACTGCATTTGCCGCGTCACCCTCTTTTCAGCTCCTATGTTGTTAAACTCAATTACAGTAAGTTATAATAAGGAAATACAATGCGGACAGAGCAAATGCTACATTTCCTGTCGGTCCCCCAGTTTTCTCTTGGCATTCCGTTGCTAGCTCTCAGAACATGAGTTAGGGACTTCCCGTGTGGTCCAGTGGTTAAGACTCGACGCCCCCGATGCCTGCATTCGGGCCCTGATTAGGATCCCACGTGCTGTCCTGCTCAGCTGAAAAAAAGTGTGAGTTCAGTACTCCTTTTAAAGTGTACCTGTAAGTGAAGGGTAATTGCCTTACAGTGCTGTGTTGGTTTACGCCATACGTCAACATTCATTAGCCGTAAGTGTACACACGTCCCCTCCTTCTTGAACCTCCCACCCCACATTTCTCATTTTTATGTCCATTTTTGTCCTGTGGCCAAAGCTAATAGGTCAAATGATTCATTTCAGATAGAGAACTTGGTCTTCTTGCCATGTATTGAAAAAAAAAAAGTGAACTTTTTTTTAAGATTAGGGTTGGGAGGATAATCGACTTTGGCATACTGAAACTATATTCGGGTTCTCAGACTCCTGCTTGGGATGTCTGCACGTTGGGACACCCTTGGTGTTGAGGAGGAGCAGAGTAGATGATCGCATTTTCTTAACCGCAGATCTCCTCCCCTAGACTTGTTTCCTCGGGTAAAAACATACCTCAGGTGATTTCTAGTACAAAGAACAGGAAAGCCCTAGGAAGACAGCCTGTTCCATTCTTCATCACCCCTCGTGACATCAGCACACGGCCTGTGTGTCCCCTGAGAACTGTCATGTGGGTATCACCGGGGCTGTCACCCTCTACTAGTCATGTCTGCCTGCCCCTGTGCGTAAAGCACCCGTCATACTTTGTAGAAGATTCGCTCAGACGGAAAGTGGCCCATCAGTTGGTGCGTCTGTCTTTCTTTCGGGTGTCATGTACAGTCAAGATTCCCAGTTTCACCCTTTCACAGGAAAACATGATGGAAGGGCCCAGGTGTTCTTCCATCATCACCTGTAGGGATAACATTCACCTCAACACAGAAGGGGCCGGAGGTGTTTGTCATCAATGATTTTCCAGTTTATTACCTGAAATCTTCAAAGAGAAAAAAGTTTTTCTCCAACTAAAACAGCGATTTAAATACGTACCAAAGAACTAGATAGAACCCCACAGGTTTCAGTATCCGCTTCATTGCCTGAAAATACAGGGGTTTTGTTCTTTACATGACAGGATGAGATGGTCGGATGGCATCACCGACTCAATGAACATGAGTTTGAGCAAACTCGGGGAGATAGTGAAGGACAGGGAAGCCTGGCGTACTACAGTCTGTGGGGTTGCAAAGAGGCGCAACTCAACGACTTCACACCTTGAGGATATGACGTTTTTATTAAAAACAAGGGTTGGAATAATCTGTATGTTTCAGTCTTGGCATGTCATGAATTACCTGCCACCTGCAGCAGAACTTGGGGACGCTGCTTCCACGGGGTAAGGACGAGCCTTCAGCTCACTTCCTTGGGCCTTGACTGGTGGTCATAGTCCAGTCTCAAGTGGAGTCGATGAGTGGAAGTCTGGTTGGGGAGCAAAGCGCGTTTTAAACGTGGGGCAGGAAAAACGGGTGGCGAAGCTCCCCGTGAGGGATGAGGGGGATGGCCAGCAGTGAGTGCACCCCCACCCTTGGCGAAGGCGGTGCCCTGTGTGGCGCGGGCGAGGCCAGCCACTTGCTCAGATACAGACAGACACGGGGAGTTTCCAGGCTGCAACAGGCTGGGAAGGCTGCGTAGGAACTGAAAAGTGAAAGTGGGGTCGCTCAGTCAGGTCTGGCTCTTTGTAGGAATTATATACATGTTTGTCTTAAAAGACCATAGTTAGTAATTTACTGTTAAATTTCAAAAATTGTTACTTCTGAATATTTTTTTTCCTTTATGGTTTTCCATTCCTGCAGATTCTACTCCCAGGATTGACTCGTTAACTCATATCCTGTCATTGCCTCAGTAGTTTGGCTGAAGCTGCTGTCAAAGGGGAGGATTCGGAGCCAAGGGGAGGAGAGAGGCAGGCTCCAGGCACGTGGCCGGTCCTCCCCCGGCAGGGCCAGGGAAGCCGGTCGAGCGGCTGGGGCCTCGCTGCCCAGGGAAAGAAGGAGACGGCCGAGCCGCAGGGAGGTCTGCCGGGAAGGGACAGCTTCCCCAGGAGAGGGTGGAGTTGGTGAAGGTGGAGCGCAGCTGGTGAGTCGGTCCCTCTTGACTCACTGCTGTCTGGGAACGCAGTAGCCTGCTTGGCAAGGGCGGGGCGCGTCACCTCCCTGGACACGGAGGTGACATGATGGGGTCCCATGGTTGTGTTGTTAAAGACCTGAGGCATAGTGTTGTGAAACAGTAACCCCAAGGAGAAAGTTTCTGTTCCGTGTACATCACAGGCGAGCCCCGTCTGTAGAACCAGTGACACGGCCCAGGACCCTGAGCTGGGGGAAGGAGCTGACGTCAGGAACTGTCCAGCAAATCTGTAAGCAAGATGTAGGGGAAGACTGATTCTGGTGGACCCTAGATGATCTTAGTCAAACTGCTAAATCCCTGCTCATCAGCTTAAAACAGGAGCTTTCAATCCTGGCTGCACATCTGACTACTCACCTGTGCGTGCTTGCCTGCCAAGTCGCTCCGTCGTGTCTGACTCTGTGACCCCACAGACCACAGCCTGCCAGGCTCCTCTGTCCCTGGTCTTCTCCAGGCAAGAACGTGGTGGGGGTTGCCATGCCCTCCTCCAGGGGATCTTTCTGACCCAGGGATCGAACCTATGTCTCTTAGATCTCCTGCTTTTGCAGGTGAGTTCATTACCACCTGTATTGATCACAGCCCCAGTATATTTGAATCAGAGAGTTGGAGGTGGGGCCTGGGTCTGTCTTTCTAAGGTGGCTTTACAGGATGACCTGAAGATGCATGAGGCTAACCCAACAGGAGTCTGAATTGAAGGTCATTTTAAAATAGTGTCATTACTGGAGTTTATACAGTTAAATATGTGTCAATGAGTAATTAAGTCACCACTTAGCCTGCATTATAAAATATGATGAGTAAGCCTCCGAGAAAGAGGAAACAGCAGACTTCCATTAAGTATACAAAACCTGGTTTCCTGTCCCCTCCCCTTTGGACAGGGGGGTGGCCTGACATCCTGGCAGAAGCTCTCAGGTCTCCCGTGAGAAGGGGGCGTGCTGAGGTGGTTTCCCAGGGGTGAGTCCGGGCCGTGCTCAGCCTCGTGCCGTCTTGGCAGGACTGGTGGTGGGTTCTCCAGGGCACCAGCCGCCTGGTCTGAGTGGCAGGCCTTGGAGAAGCGCAGTGGCAACAAGATTTGGATTCACATCCTTGCTGTTAATGCTGGACAAGCTGCTTCTCTGAACCTCACTGTTTTAAAAAGTGAAAGTAGCTGTGGTATGCAGCCTGGGATCTTACCCAAGCGTCCCTGAGATAATCTACCTACGAATCTTAGCACAATATAGGAGGTGCTCAATCAATATGATTTATAACTAGACAGCTTGAGTCCATAGCATGCATGAATCCACGTCTATGTAAATTTAACAAGCGCCCTGTGGGAAACTAGGTGAGTAGTGTTCTCCGTGAATGTGTAAATAGGATTATTTATTTCTGGAGCCTGAAACTGGACGTTAACATTTCCTTCCTACTTGATTTTGCTACTGCACAGTACCTACATCTACTTGAGAATTTGAAGGTTGTATGTTTTGTAGCCTGCTCTGATACAAGGTATGATATTTAAATATTATAGGAAGGATTTTTCTCTATAAAGGAAGCTTTTTGGAGGCCTGACTATATGCAAAGGACCCATTTTTTACCAAGCACTATTATTCGGCCCGGACATCACATGTCTAGTGGCCTTTTCCCATTGTCCCTTTTTCCACTTGAAGGCATATCTCACATGTTTAGCCATCAGCGATTTGACTTAGATCAGGGAGAGAAGAGGAGAAGGAAGAAATTGGGTCCCACGTTCATAAACAGCAATTTCATCGGGGAAGCTTTCAGAACTTAGTTATAACTTAGTTTTAAAGGCATTAAGTGGCTGGCTGCCGCTGGCTTTTTTGTTTTTATCCTTGCTTTGTTAATGTTTTTGAGGACTCTGTGCCTCCGCCAGCTTGGGGGGCCCGTACTGTGACCCCCTTCTCTCTATTCCTCTGATGCCCTGCATTCCTAGGGCATACTCCTTCCCTCAGAGCAGCGCAAGGGCAGACTTTCCTTCTAGTTAGAATATACATACGTGGCCAACATTACCTCATCGGAGCCTATGGTTACGACTGGATGGAGCTCATGATGGATCTAATGATGGGATTTTAATGTTCCCTTAAGGTAGAGAAAATGCTCTGGGGAGACGAGTTCCTTGTGATCTTACCACTAAACTTCAAACATTTCAAAAATTTGGTTTGAGTTTTTCCGTAAGCTATTCCAGCGTTAGTCGCTCAGTTGCAGCTGACTCTTTGTGACCCCATGGCCTGCAGCCCGCCAGGCTCCTCTGTCCATGGGAGTCTCCAGGCAACAATACTGGAGTGGGTTGTCCTGCCCACCTCCAGGGGATCTTCCTGACCCAGGGATCAAACCCAGGTCTTCCTGCACTGCAGGCGGATTCTTGATCACTGAGCCACCAGGGGACTTGTATATTCCAAAAAGTAACAGACTCATGCCTGCCTTGAACACTGGAATGGTTTAGGGCTTCCGAGGAGATTGAGGTCATGTAGCCCTCGCCACCTGGAGGCGTCTGGGGACCGGCAGCGTCAGCATAATCCGTTCTGCCTGTTAGAAATGCAGACTCTCAGGCCCGGCCCAGACGTCCTCAAAACCTGCACGTGAACAAGGCCTGCCGGCTTCACACGTCACACTGGAGAAAAGCAAGGAGTCGAAGCAGCTTGTTGAAAATGCCACGCCTGACCCGCGACAGCCTTCAGCTTACAGGCCGGGTTCTGGCCAGCTCACCACACTGACCTCGACTCTTGGGATCACATAACACAGCCTGCAGCTGGACAACCCCTCCAGCTGCTGTGATTGCCAGAAGTGGAGTTCCTGGTGGGGCTAATTTAATGTCAATGTAGCACCGAATAACTGAGGCCTTCGACCTGGGGTGTTGGAGAAGACTCCTGAGAGTCCCTTGGGCTGCAAGGAGATCCAACCAGTCCATCCTAAAGGAAATCAGTCCTGGTGGCTCAGACAATAAAGAATCTACCTGCAATGCAAGAGACCCAGGTTCAATTCCTCGGTCAGGAAGATCCCCTGGAGAAGGGAATGGCGACCCACCCCAGTACTTTTGCCTGGAGGGTTCATGGACAGAGGAGCGTGGTGAGCGACTAGTCCATGGGGGTCACAGACAAGTCAGACACAACTGAGCCACTAACACTCTCTGCCCTGGTATGACCCACCCAGTTAAGGATGGTTTTTCCATTTTAAGTGGTTGAAAAACATCAAATAAATAAGAATTTCATGATGTGAAAATTACATGAAATTTAAATTCCAGTACCCATACATGAAGTCTTACTGAAACACCACCATGTTGTAAAATGTGCACGTCCCCTGTGGTTGCTTCTTGTTTGGAGGCCTGAGTGCTGAGCCGCCACAGTGAGCTTGCGTGGCACGGGCGTTTCACCCGGCTGCTTGGCAGCCCGCGGGTGGCAGTGAGTAGTCAGTCGACAGCGCTTTCAGTGCTGCATGGGGCACCGTGTCACACGCTTATTGTTTATTACCAATGTGGCCATCATGTCAAAACAGAGTGGCTTTCGAATGTCACTGCTTTTAAGGCATGGTGGAGTATGGGTTACTTCCCTCTTGAGTTGGGTGACAACATACAACAATATGGAAGCTGTCACATTACAAAGAATACAATCTATGTTGGCATTTCCAGGTAAACTACTGGTAGACTACTACGTTATCCATCAGACTACTTCTAACTCACAAGAAAGCAATGGATGGATGGTCAGAAAAGTTAGAAAATTTAAAATTGAGTGTCTAATCACAGACTTTCTCCACAGAAGTAAAAAATGAAAATGAGGCTGCAACCAAAGTAAGTTTCTGACTGGTGTATGTTAGCCAGTCTAGGAAAGCCAGTTACCTATGGTGGGTTAATTCAGTCAGGTTTGATTCAGCGGCTGGAGAAACATCATTGGAGAAACTAAGCTTGTCTGGAACTACCAGCCTTTCAATGATAACCGTCTAAAAACAAAACAAGACACAACACCTGAGTTACTTGGCTTCACCGTGATCTTAGTTGCAGTGTGTGGGATCTAGTTCCCCAACCAGGATTCAAACCCAGGCCCCCTGCATTGGGAGCACAGAGGCCTAGCCACTTGACCACCAGAGAAGTCTCTCAGTGATGACAGTTGCTCAAAGTGTTAAGGAGATAGGAACAACATCAACAGTCAATTAAAAAAGCAAGTGGTTTTGAGTGTTTTCCCCGACTCTTACTACAAGAGTTGACATACATTAGTTTATTTGAAGAGTCTGTGCCAAGTTGGAAATAACTGAAGAATTAGTCTTTGTTAGTGGCATCATTGACTCAATGGACGTGAGTCTGAGCAAACTCTGGGAGATGGTGAAGGACAGGGAAGCCTGGTAGGCTGCAGTCCATGGGGTCACAAAGAGTCAGACATGACTGAGCGACTGAACAACAACCTGTGTGTAGCAACTACAGGCAAAAATACTTTCAAAGTTGAGAAAACTAATTCAGTACAACAACCTGAAGTGGAATCTGCTAAGATGTGTTATAACTGATTGTGAAAAAAAAAATACATGAAGTGGAAAAAGCCTTAAAAGGACAAACTTGGGAAGCTTGTGATAATATAGGGTGTTAAACCTTAGGATTACCCATTGTAGAATTTAAATCAACAGAAATTATGTGGAATATAGTTGAATCACGTGTTACTGAACCAGTATTATGAACCGTGAACTTTAGTTGCTGCTATGGACTTACCTGTCAACAGTTTGATGAATTCTTTTGTTAGGAATAGTAGCTGAAACTCCTGACCTGGCCCACAACACAGTCTTTTGATGGCTTAGTAGTCGTAAAGTTTATTTCAATTTTTTAAAAGATTTTATTTATTTTTTAAAGTTTATTTTTAAATTGGAGGATAATTGCTTTACAATGTTGTCCTGGTTTCTGTGGTACAGTAATGTGAATCAGTCATAATTAAACATATATCCCTCCCTCAACCCCTCCCCTATCCCATTCATCTCAGTTCAGTTCT